ACACTGTTTTGTTCTGAGTATTTGAGCTTTTAAAAACTATTTTATAAGCATATTCTCTGTTTCATAGCTCACACAGAAAATACAGTTTTGCTTCCTGCTTTTTTGCCTACATATTATGTGCGTCTTTTCCTATCATTGAAATTTGTTTGTAGGGTTGGGGGGTGTAGTTAAATTGCCTGGTATTTATGAATGATTTCTTTTTCTAAAAGACATCCATCCAACATGCAAGTGAGATCATGTGATATTTGCTTTTATGTGCCTGACTTATCTCGCTTAATATAATGGCCTTCTGATTCATCCGTCTATGCTGTGGCAAATGAAAGCAGCTCCTTCTTTAATGCTAAATAATCTTCCATTAAATATGAAGACATCTGTTCCATATGTGTGTGTGTGTGTATATATATATATATATATATATACATATCTGTATTTAATCACTTACTCTTCATCTTCTCCCCACATCTTGCTATGATGAATAGTGCTGCTGTGAACATAAGAATGCAGATTTCTTTATGAAGTGTTGACTTCATCTCCTTTGGGTAGGTAGACACCCAGAAGAGGGATTGCTGGGTTGTATGGCAGCTCCACTTTTAAATTGTTGAGGAACCTCCATATTATTTTCCACTTTGGCTGCACCAAGCTACATTTCAACCAGCCACATGCAGAAGGGAATACGGTGACATAGGAAGCCAGAAAGATCTAGGGGCCAGGTTCACTGTTTTTATGACAACGCATGCTTGCAAGAACCAACTCAATCCTTGAGACTGTATCCACACCTTCTGAGGTGGTGCCCCAGTGACCTGATCGTTTTGCATTAGGCCCCACCTCCGAAAGACTCCACCCTCTGTCAACATCACCACACCAGGGAGAGGCTTCCAGTCAAGAACATTTGAGAACAAACCTCAAGCACTCTGCAACACTGCCATTCTTAGCTTCTCTTCCATGTTGCCCCACGTGTCAAAACTCTCAGGAAAGACAGTGGAGAAAGACTCCAGCAGAGAAATGGGGACTGGAAATGGGTGACTGGTTCCATTCTGCCCTCTGTCAGCCTCTCTGGGGCTCTGTTTCCTTGTCGGTCAAATGAGTGGCCTCTCATGGCTTCCTCAGGACAGTGCCTTTGGGATCAGAAGGAAATGGCTGTGGCTTATGCAGTCATGTGTTTCCTTAAGATCAGAAGCCTGGAAGTAGAGTGCTAAAGACTTGCAGCTCTGTTTGAACAGAGGTGACTTTGAAGGGGACGTTATTCTTATGGGGCAAAATGGAAATGCAGTCTCTGACAGCACACAAATTAATATCAAATAGGAGGAAACATACACAATTAGTCACGTCCACGTTCATAAAAGCTCACAGTAGGGGCTTTCTAATTTAAGAAAATGAATAATAATAATGATGATGAATAATGAATAATCAATCATATAAACCAGGAATTTTACTTCATTGCAAATTAATTTTTTTGATGGTCCTGGGGTTTGAACTCAGAGCCTTGAGGTTAGCAAGCAGGCATTCTACCAATTAAGCCATGCACCCAGCCCTTTTTTCCTTTAATTCTTTTTTTCTTGTTTTTAGCAGTACTGGGGTTTGAACGCAGAGCCTTGTGTTTGCCAGGCAGGCACTCTACCACTTGAGTCAAAATTCCAGCCCTCTTTAGCTACTTTTCAAATAGGGTCTCGCTTTTATGCCCAGGCCTGCGTGGACTAGGATCCTCCTATTTATGCTTCATGTGTATCTGGGATGACAGACGTGTGCCACAATGCCATTTTTTATTGGTTGAGATGTTGCCTAGATAACTCGGCTTGGGCTGACCTCAGTCACAGTTCTCCTGATCTCTGCCTCTCAAGTAGCTGGGATTACAGAAGTGAGGCACCATGCCTGGCTTCAAATTAATTATTTTTTATGAAGGTGTCATTGTATCGTTCCTTGAAGAGCTACCTGACAGGCTTAGCTGTGGGTTTGCAGTGAGCAACTGGAGCAAGACAAGCTTTAAAGCTGGGTTTCAGGATCCCTCTGTCACATGGAGAGTCATCAGAAAAAGAGAGGTTAAGTTACAATATGTGTGACTTTTCTAATTGTAAAAAGTTCAGTTGGAGGGCCATGGGGGCTATACTTCTAGTTGTTTTTCTATGCAGGGAACTCATCCATCAATATCTTTTTACAGATTTGTACGTGTATTCTATTTACTGGCCTGCTTTATTCACTTTGTATAAGCTTCTTGTTTCTTTTTTTTTTTTTTCTTTTGGTGGTACTGGGGTTTGAACTCAGGGCCTCATGCTTGCTAGACAGGTGCTCTACCACTTAAGCCATGCCTTCAGCCCTTTGTATAAGCTTCTAATGAGCATTTTTCTTTCATTTTTATTAGGATATATTTGTTGTACAGGGGGAGTCACTGTGACAATTTCAAATAAGCTCACATTGTACATTGATTAGATCACCTCCACCATCTCTCGTCTGGACCTCTCTCTGCCCCACTTAAAAGCGACTGCAAGAGATTTCATCACTATCTCATCTATGTATACGAAGCCTATCAGTCCTGTTCCTTCACCTTCATCTCCTCCATCCCCCCTTCCCCCCCACAGGTACCCCTCCCCCCACACCGTACCCATATTTCAGTCCTGTCTTTCATTATTACTTCCTGAGTCAATGTTCAAAGGGTTTCTCGATGTGTCCCCATTGTGAGTCTACTTTACTTTGGACAGTTCAACCCCTCTCCCCACCCCGATTATTCAATAGCTTTCAGTGCATGTCGCTATGCGCTCTACCTGTACACATGTTACGTATTTTGATTTTTTTTTATTGTTTTATTATTCATATGTGCATACAAGGCTTGGGTCATTTCTCCCCCCTGCCCCACCCTCCCTTACCACCCACTCCGCCCCCTCCCTCTCACCCCCACCCCCCAACACCCAGCAGGAACATATTTTGATATTGTTGACACTCTATCATTCTCTAATGAGCATTTTTGACTAGAAAGAACTGTTGATTTTAATATTGTGTTTCTTCTGCTTTTCAAGTTTTAAATTTTCAATTAATTTTTGAATCAATAATACATGCACATTCTACAAAATTCACAAAGGACAAAGGACACACAGGACAAAGAATGTCCTTCCCTGACCTCTGTCACACAGTTCCTTTACCAGAGGAAAGCAGCATTCCCAGTTTCTCAGTTATCCCTATAACTAGGAACATTTAATCATGTACCTCTCACACAGTGACAGCATTTCCTCCATTATTCTGCCCCTTTTTGTTTTCCCTTGTAGCACACAAACATTACACAAGGGTACCCAGAGAGATGGCTTGTTTTTATATCTACGTAGTAAGTGCCTGCCTAGCAAGTGCAAGGCCCTGAGTTCAAATCCCAGTAGCCCCCCTCCAAAGAAATAAAAATTTTAAAAATTGTTGTGAATTGATTATAGATATGCTATAAACACAATTACTTTAAACGGTCTGGGCTCTGGGGCCCTGGGCAGACTTGTCAGAGTGGCAGACAATTCACCTGACAGGCTGAAGCAGCAGTTCTCAAAGTGTGGGCTGTAGTCTCCCTGCCGGAACCCACACATCACTTGTCTTTCTCATCCTCATTTACTCCTGAGTGGTGTTGGAATTTTCCAAAAGTCACATGTGTGATAAAGTTATGGCTCTAAAGTCCAACAGAACCTGTGCCTTCAGATTCACGTGTTTTCAAATGTTCTCAGTTTGGATCAGTGGTGTCAGAGCTGGGGTGGCCGACTCAAAGGGACAGGGCACTTTGGGAGCAGGGATGACTCCATCTCTTGATTATGGTGATAGTTATATGGCTGTATGCACTTGCCAAAACTCCCAGCTTTACACTAAAAATGGGTGATTTTTACTGTGTAAATTATACCTCAATAAAAGGCAAAATTATTTCTCAATGTTAGTTTCTAACAGAATAGTTAGATATAATCCACATAAACAAAAGCTCTCAATGATGTTTAAGCATACCAAGGAATCCTGAGACCAAAACCTCTGAGAACCACTGAAGCAGTTGTGATTTCTTAGTCTACACTTGGGAAAATGACTAAAAGGGAAGACAGAATCTCTTCAGCACGCAAGCTCTGTAAACTGTGCTGTCAATGTGGCAGCCACTGGCCACCTGCGGCCACCAAGCACGTGAAAAGTGGGTAATCAGGGGCTGGCCGTGTGGCTCAGTGGTAAGGTGTGTGCTTCGCAGGTGGGAAGCCATGAGTTCCACTGCCAGCACCGAAAAAACAAAGCAAAACAAAACGTGACTAGTCCAAACTAGCCACAAGATGTACTTAACAACCTCCCCCAAAATGATAAATTATCTCAATTATTCTTTATGTAGAAATGACACTGTTTTGGATATGTAGGGGCAAAGTAAAATACAGTTAAAATTAATCTCATCTTTTGCTTTTTACTTTAATGTGGCTGATTACATTTTTTTTTTTTAATGACCAGTATGGTTCCTGTTTCTGTTCCTATTGGACAGGACTGTTTTGGAGACCCCAGACTTGACTGCCAGTCCCCATTCCACCTTTCACACTTACTGGTTCCCTACATTTCTTGGGTTTCCTGGAATGTAAACTGTGGCGTGACTATTAAATATGAATAATGTCACGGTACTCAGCCATATGTGCTAAGCTTGGTGACTGTGACTGAACGCTCATTAAAACACCTTCCTCTGCAACCCATTTGCGTCCTGTTGATAATCGAAGCAGAACCCCGACTTTCGGGCGGGGACCCCACACACACACTGAAAAGTGACCCAGAGTCCCTCCTGAAAATGGACTATCCGAGTTTGTGAGTGGAGCCTAGGCAAAATCTGAAAATCAAGGGGTCCAGGGCTGCTAGGCCTCCCTTAGCAACTGACGTCAGCGCTTGTTGCTAAGGGGAGAAAGGAAAAATAGAGACGTGGTCCGTCGGTTATTGCTCTCCGATGGCAGCAACTTCCGGTGCTCCCGGGAGCCTGTCCCTAGGCCTACCTTCCCCCGAGGAGGTTGAGTTGTGGCTGTGGGTTCCGCCGCCTCGGGCGCCTTCGGAGCCCTCCGTCCGGCTGCGGCGGAGGCGGCGGGGGCGGCGGCTGGCCTCCCACGCGGCGGCGATGCTGAGCTGTCGCGCCCAGGCGGCTATGACCGCGGCTGACAGAGCCATCCAGCGTTTCCTGCGGACCGGGACGGCGGTCAGGTGAGCTGCGGGAGGCGGGGCGGCCGGCCGGAGACGCCTGGGCCTGTGGCGGCCTTTTCACACCCTGGTCAGGGTCGCCAGCGCCCGAGTGGACACTCCCGAGGTTCTGTGACCTGAGGGGTTGGAGGCCCTGACTTGGCAGGGATGGCGGGCCAGACCCGTTCTGCGACCACCCAGATCCTGTCACTGCTGTTCGAGCCCCGCCATTGCCTCTCCATCCTGTCGTTGTCCCCGGACTTCGAGGGCCCCCTAGTCTTGTGCAGGCCCCGGATTCTGTCAGCGCGCCCCGAGTTTTCTCTGTGCCTCCCAAGCCTGCAAGATCCCCGATCCTTCTGGGCCACCAGTCACATCCGTTCCTGGACTACCCAGGGTCCCCAGTCCTGCCTTGGTTTTCACACTCTTATAAGTGCCCCAGGATGCAGACCCCTCATTTTGTCAGTATCCCTGCTCCTGTCCTCCCACTTCTCTAGGGATCCCCACTTGTGTCTGGGTCCTGAATGTTATTACCCTTATCCATACGGGTCCCTAAGCCTGTTAAAGCCCTTAGTCTATTCAGGTTGCCCAGTCCTGTTAAAGCTAAAGGCCCCTCATTCCTGCTAGGACCCCCAATCCTGTCACAGCCCGCATTTCTCTCTTACACTCCCAAGTGCCCCAGGCTTAGGGCTGACCCTAAATGACTGAGACCTGTTGCTCAGCTTGACTTCCTCTGGAACTGGAGCAGGTCAAAAGAGCTTATTATCCAGGGCTGGAAGCCTTCAATGGCTAGCCTGTCCGTGCCCTGATTCCAGGGTTAGGAAGTGGACCTTGAGCAGGCCTTGCCTGTGGCCCCACAGCTGACCTGAGAGCAGAGCTGGGAGGAGAAGACAGATCTCTTTAACTCCCAGGCCTCACCCTTCTCCTCCTCCTGTCCTTTTGCAGAGGAATGGAGTTTCCAAATCAATCCCTTACCCCTTGGATTTTTGCTCAATGCCCTGTTAAGGACCGGAACAAATCCTGTCTCCTGTCCCTTCAAGCCTTTGTCCTTCATTTTCCCTCATGAACTTTGTGTTTTAAGCACAGACTTGGGAAATGGGTAGGCATGGATTCAGAGCCACATTCCTTCATCATGACCAATTTTGCCATGTCTCCCAGTTCCCTCCGTTTAAAAAATGGGTGATAATAGAACTTCCCTCCATGGAGTTGAGTTTGTTTTCTGTTGTTGTTTGTTTTGTTTTTTGTATGTTGATTTCTTGAAACAGCGTTTTACTATTTTCTCAGACTGGCCTTGAACTCACTAGGTAGCCCAGATTGTCCTAACACTTACAGTCCTCCTGTCTCCATCTCCCAAGCGCTGGGATTATAGAAGTGCTCCATCTTGACTGGTTTGTGGAGTTCTGAGGATGGGCTAAAATGACCACAGTGCCAGGCATGGAGTATGCATCCTTAAGTTTAGGGTTAAATTAGATTTTAAAGCCCTGGCCAAGGCCTTTACTTCTTCAGTGATAGTCCTTTTTTTTTTTTTTTTTTTTTTTGTGAGTGTATTGTATAAAAGCACAGTGACGCACTAAGAAATTTCAAGAATGCCCGAGGTTATAATACCTACAATTATAGTAGCTAACACTTATTAAGCTCTTACAATGTACCCTGTATATTAGTGCTTATTTACTTCTTGCAACAACCCTACGAGTTGGGTCTCATGAGGGTCCCTTTGTGTAGATGAGGAGGCTGAGGCTTACAGGGTAAAATGATGCCCTAGCAATTAGCGAAGCTAGAATCAACCCAGAGTAATGTGATTCCACTTTTTTTCTTTCCTTTTGTTACTGGGGATCAAACCCAGGGCCTCACATGTGCTAGACAAGTGCTCTACCACTGAGCTACAACCCGAGCACCAAATTCCACCAAGTTCTGTGCACATTCTATTGACTCTGTCTTGAAAGAATACAGAATTACTTGAAATTCATTTATAAGCTGTGACACTAGAAAAATGCTGATTGTATAGGACAGTCACTATTGTCACTAGTGACTACATTGAGTTAATGTTTACTGAGCTGAGAGCAAAACAGTGTTGACAGGAACCAAATATTGGGATAGGAACTGATGTAACACATATGCAAGTATGTACCACACATAGATACACAGACATACGTGGTTTGCCTTATTTCCTAGAAATGTGTAACTTTGTATAAAAATAGTGTTTTAAACTACTGGTGCAAATTCTTCATTTGTAATAAAAGAATGACTTCAGTGTTCAAGTCAAGCCTAAAATGAAGAGATCTTTAATTTTATAAATATTGAGAAGGTCTTTTATTATCTGTTTAATATTCTAAGAAGAAATCTATTTCTGTATGTTTGGTCCAGTATCCAGTGATTGAGTAAACGTTGAGACTCTCTGGTGTGCTGGGTGTGATCCAGACACTTGGGGTGTGTCAGTGAGTAAAACAAAGCTCTCTTAAGCCCTCTCAGAGGAAAACAGGACAGTGAAGGGCAGGGACTTTTATTTCAGTTGTGGGAGACAGGCAACAGTCACATGAATTTTGTGTGGAAAGGTGGTAAGTGCAGTGGTGAAAAGAAAAATTGTAATTGGTTAAGGGAACCAGGAGTACAAGTTCCAGTAGTGTTCAGTGTAGGCCTCTTTGAGAAGTGAAGGGAGGAGAAGCAGATGAGGGAGTGAACCAAGTAGTAATCTAGGGGAAGAGCATTCCCGGTAGAGGGCACAGCAGTGCAAAGGCTCTGGGTTTGGAGCAGTGGCTGGTGTGATGGCCAGTGTGTCAGCGGAGCAAGAGGCAGAGTGGGAAGAAAGCTCCTGCTATTCCTTTGGGTGAGACAGGGCTTGTAGAGGGTTGTGTTTTCTCTTAGGTTTTAAATCCTAATGCTTAAACATCTTGACTTTTCAGACATAATCCTGTTGTTGTATATTACTTTCAAGTTAAGTGCTTGGTAGGTTATTTTGACAAAATGTTACTCTGCTTACCTATGTTCATTTATCCACGAGTCCTGTTTGTGGTGAGGGAGAGCTGTGTATGTATTTTCTTTTTTAGATATAAAGTCATGAAGAACTGGGGAGTTATCAGTGGAATTGCTGCTGCTCTTGCAGCAGGAATATATGTTATTTGGGGTCCCATCACAGAAAGAAAGAAGCGCAGAAAAGGTAAGGGGGCCACTGCATCATGGTCTGTGGACTTGATGGGTCATGTTTTGTTCTCCTGCATCTTTAAAATGAGGACTTCAGCTTCTGAAATAGTACTTTTACATTGACTTCTACCCTGTAGTAAGATTTTATCCCAGCACCTCTTCAGACTTGGGTTTAAGGCATGCATTATAATGATGAGTTTCAAGTGACTTTAATGTTTTAAGTGTTCTCACTAATATGACAATTGTCTTTTCAGTAGTACAACTGACTAATTATGTCATGCATTTGTGGTTTCTCTGACCAGCTGCTAGTAACCAGTAAAAGTCTCAAGTTAGTTTCTTCACTAATAAAAAAAAATTCTTTCCTTATTTCATAAATGTTCCCTTTTGTAAATGTTACTTTACTTAACATTAAAATTTAATGAAAGAAAGATAGAAAGAAGAATTGGATGGGCATAGAAATTTTGATCACTGTTAAATCTAGGGATCATTATAATTGGGTTCATTGTGCATTCTCATGCATGCTTGAAGACTTTCATATTAAAAATATTTTCAGCAGAATAGAGAATTGTATCAGGTTATGTTGATCTCTTTGCAGAAAGACTGATCAGAATTGGTGGAGTGATGTCTTTTTCAGTGATTGTTATAAGAACAAAATCATTGTTCTGGGGCAGCAACAACAGAGCAATTGTCTCCTGTTCTGAGAAACATTGCTTTTTTACTAAAGAAGAGACAGCGTGCAAGAAAACGAGGGAGAAAAAATAGAGAGGAGATGACTACTAAGTGTTTCTAACATTTAGTTAATGAGCCAAGCTGTGCCAGATACAAAGATGATGCACGGCAGGGACTTGTCCTCCTGTCGTTTCCTAGGACCAGGCCTGGGCACAGATAGAATGCCTGGTCCCCAGTCTCTATAGATCAGAACTTATGCAGATTTGGATTCCAAATTTAAGGTCACAGTGCAGAAACTCTAGGTCCAAATAAAAGAGAAAAGAAAGTTGGTCCAAGATGATGAGCTATTCTCTTCTTCCCCCACTTTTTTTTAGGACTTGTACCTGGCCTTGTCAATTTAGGGAACACCTGCTTCATGAACTCACTGCTGCAGGGTTTGTCTGCCTGCCCTGCATTCATCAAGTGGCTGGAAGAGTTCACCACCCAGTACACAAGGGACCACAAGGAGCCCCCTCCACACCAGTACTTGTCCTTGACACTGTTGCACCTCCTGAAAGGTACTAGTGGGGACTTAGAGAGGACTGTGTGCATTTTCAAATAAGTCCAGATAGCAGGCACAGAAAGGGTTAATCACCTGATTATTAGAAAAAGATTATATAGGTTTTTTTTTTTTTTTTTGGTAGCACTGGGGTTTGAACTCAGGGCCTCATGCTTGCTAGGCAGGTGCTCTACTACCACTTGAGCCACACCCCCAGCCCCATATAGGTCATTGTGGAAAAACACTGAGACCAATAGAAAAAGGTGGAACCATTTATTATAAAAAATTATCAGTTTAAATAACTTTTAAGTAAGGGGGGGAACTGCCACTGCCACACAGACATTTTAGTTATAAGAAGTATTTTGATTTCAAAACCAAATGTCTTAGCCTAGGAAATAAGGTAATTCACAAAAAGAATTAATAGGATTGCTGACAGCACTTCAGTATTCAATTTGACCATCATCAAACAAATATAAATCAAATAGTAGTACCTTTTCTTTTTCTTAATTTTTCTTTTCTGTTTGGACTGGAGTTTTAACTCATGGCTTCACACTTGCAAAGCAGGTGCTCTTACTGATTGAGCCACACCTTCAGTCTGTTCTGATTATTTTAGAAATGGGGTCTCACAAACTATTTGCATGGACTGGCCTTGAATTGTGATCCTTTGATCTCAGCCTCCCAAGTAGCTACAATCACAGGCTTGAGCTCTCTGTACCTCTTTTCTTAGAATAACAAATTCACAGACCTGGCCAGCTATTGGACATCCACCTCCACTTGCTGCAGGTGTGGGTGGAGTTCAGTGCAACCTTTCTGAAGTGATTTGGAACTGTACAGTGAAAGTCTGCAAAACATTCAGTACCATTTGGCCTAGTCATCCATTAAGGAGTCTGGAACGGTGGGGCACCAACCCTCAACTTGGAGAGTCATAATATAATACTGGTTTGGTAAAAATTTATAATTGATCCAGTCTTTTTTGTTTTTTGTTTTTTGTTTTTTTTTTTGAGGTAGGGTCTTTTAAAGTAGTCTAATCTGGCCTAGAACTCTCAATTTTCCTGCCTCGTCCTCCCAAGGACAAGGATTACAGATGTGTACCACCACATGTGACTCCAACTTCATTTTTAAACCAAATTTATTTGACTTTAGAGAGCTTTTCTCCTCCCATAACATTGAACATGGAGTTTAGCCCCATTTACTGAAAAACAAAAAAGTAAAAACCATTAAGCTCAGTATTGCTTTATTGAGGTAATTTTCCATGGGAATCTCTGTTCAACACAGATGTTTATGAAACAGTTCTACTGTTCCATCTAAGAGGTGATTTGAGCACCTCCCTATATTAGTTAAAAAAAAAAGGCAAGAATGATGTCTAACATAGAATGATAAAGTAATCAATGATATATAATCATGTAGAATCATTTTTATGAGGTTTTTTTTTTTTTTAATTTGTGAAAGGCCATGGCCTATAATATTAAGTTTAGAAGACCAGGATCCTTGACTTCATCAAGGTAAGAACTGCAGAAAAAGGCCAGTGTTATCAGTGGCCATTTTGTTGTTATATAGGTATTAGCAGTTATTGATAATTTTAGAAAAAAGTTAAAAATAAGCTATACTTCTGCCTTTATCAGTAGCATATGATACTTTCCTAGTCAGAAAAACAGTTGGACTTAAAAAATACACAAGCTGGACATGGTGGTTCCCACCTGTAATCCCAGCCCTCAGGAGGCTGAGGCAGGAGGAGCTCGAGTTCAAGGTCAGCTTGGGCTACATAGCCAGACCCATCTTGCTGTGTAAGAAGAACCTGTCTCAAAAGGAAAAAATATATCAAAAATAAAAACAACTAGCTTGGGTTGGACTGGAGGTGGTGTGGTTCAAGTGGTAGAATGCCTGCCTAGCAAGCACAAGGCCCTGAGTTCAACCCCAGTTAAGCAAAAAAAAAAAAAAAAAAAAGTAATACCATCCAGCTAAGTATTGCTTTATTGAGGTAATTTTCCATGTTGATCTCAGTTCAACACAGATGTTTATGAAATGGTTCTACTGTTCCATCTAAGAGGTGATTTAGGAGTATTTCCTTTACTACACTGTTTCAAAATACACACTTTTACAAATTCTGTAAGAAGCTGAAACATGAGATGTCATGGCCCAGGCCTTGAAGCTGTCCTGCCCATGACCTCAGCATACCCTCACTGCCACACGTGAGACCCATTGTCAGGGACCAAAGCCATTCTTGGTCACAGGAGGTTAGAAGATAGACTCCCTTCTCTGCTCTGCTTCTCAGCATCTCTTACTTGGTTTTTCTATGAGTAGTTTTTAATAATACAAGTAATGCATGAATCAATTCTCTTTGTAAAAAGTTAAAGCAATACAAATAAAGCTAGAGTCCTGCCAGGTACCCGTGGCTCACACCTGTAATCCCAGCTACTCAGGAGGCAGAGATCAGGAGAATCGAGGTTTGAGGCCATCTGGGCAAGTAGTTTAGAGACCCTATCTTGAAAGAAAACATCACAAAAAAGAGCTGATGGAATGGCTCAAGGTGTAAGCCCTGAGTTCAAGCCATAGTACCACAAAAAAAAAAAAGAAAAAAAAGCTAGAGTTGCCCCAATACTGCTCCCCTCCTTCCTTCCCAAAAGGATGTGTAAGTGTGTTCTTCCAGACCATTATTGGTGGTTTTCATGACCATTTCAGTACATTTTGCCTCATTCACTTTGTATCTTTTTGTGAGGTTAGTGGCCTTACACATTTTGTCTTCTATGAGTTGCTTCCTTTGCTTAATTTTTAAATTGTAGTAAAATGTCCATGACATAAACATACTGTTTGAGTTCATACTGTTTTTGAGTTCAGTGGTAGTACGTACAGTGCAACAGTCGCCACCATCCATTTCCAAACTCTTCGTCACCTTGCATTGAAGCTCTGCACCCATTACGCAGTGTTTCCCATCCTCCCCTCCCCTCTCCCTGCCCCTGGTGGCCAGCACTGTGCCTTTCTGTCTCTGTAGATGTGACCTTACCTCGTCGAGTCATGAGGTACTGCGTGTGGCTCATGTAAGTGGGATCCTGCAACATGTGTGTGGCGCATCCCTGAGGTTCATCCAGTGATCGCATGTATCACAGTTCCATTCCTTTTTAACGCTAAGTAGTATTTCATTGTGTGTATATGGTACATTTTGTCTGTCCATCCATGAGTCAGTGGACATCTGGGTTGTTTCCATCTTACGGCTATTATGAATAATGCCGCTGGAAACATTGGTGTGCAAATATTTATCTGAGTCCCTGCCTTCAGTTATTCTCTGTATATAGCCAGAAGTGGAATCAAATGATAGTTGTGTTGGGGACCACCATGCTTGTTTGACAGAGATGGCACCATTTCATTCCCCATCCGTAATGCACCAGAGACCTAGCTTCTCCACATCCTTGCCAGTACGTGTTGTCTTCCTGATGCTGTGAGGTGTGTCTCTTCATTTTAATTTACATTTCCCTGGTGACAGGTGGCATGAGTGTCTCTTCATTTGCTTATTAGCCATTTGTTTTATCTTTTCTAGAGAAAAGTCTGTCCAAGTCCTTTGCCTATTTTTGAATTGTGTTATTTAGGGAGTTTTATTGTTGAGTTGCAGTTCTTTATACATGCTGAATATTAACCCCTTATCAGATAGATATTCACTTTTATAGCTGCATAGAGTCCATAATTTCAAGACATCCCACATTTATTTAGCTTTTTGTTTCTAGCTCTTCATCATTATAACCGGGCTGCAGTGAACGTCCTTCTCCATGGCCCCATGATGTCCATAAATGTGTGTTTCTTTTTTATTTGTATTTTTTTTCTTTTTTGATGTACTGGGGTTTGAACTCAGGACCCCCACACTTGCAAGTAGGTGCTCTACTGCTAGAGTCACACTCCCCCCAGACCTTTTTGCTTCGGTTATTTTGGGGATGGGTCTAACATTTATGCTGGGACTGACCTGGACCACAGTCCTCCATTTATACTTCCCTCGAGATTGGAGCGACAGGTACATGCCACCACACCCAGCTTTATTGGTTGAGATGGGGGTCTCAACTTTTTGCCCAAGCTGGCCTCCAACCTTGGTCCTTCCAATCCCTGCCTCCCGAGTAGCTAGGATTTCGGGCATGAGCCACTGTGCCCACCTAAGCATGTGTTTCTTTTGGTAAATCCTGGAAAAGTCAAATTCCTGGGTGTGGGATATGAAACTTAGCAGACATTGCCAAATTGTCCCCATGGCCTTTTAGACAAAATCAGGCTAAAGGAGACCTTGACATTTTCCTTGGGAGAGAAAAAGTTAACAGGAGGGCTGCCCAGAGGTTGCGGGAGGAAGAAGGAAGGTACAATTTCTTTCGCAATTCTTCCTTTATTCTAAAGGGTAAAGGGCTGGCCCCAGGGTGTGCACCCTGAGAGGCTGAGCCTAGGGCCTTGTCACCACCAGCTGCCCTTCATATTGACCACTCAGGGTCATCAGCCACACCCAGACACTGGTGAGTGGGGATAGATTGGGGATGGGGGCATTAGTGTTCAGACCTTTCAGTGTCAGAGTCTGAGCTCTGCAAAGCAAAGAGAAGGAAACAGGTGGGGCTGCTTTAACCGGGAAGTCATTGAGATTCCAGACACCACTGAGATGGCAGACCCCTACTTCTTCATCTCCCACACTAGCAGTACTGGTCCAGTGTACCATCTTATGGGGAGCGGTGTCAGCGCCCTGTGACCTGCAGGCCAAAACTAGCCCCAGCCTCACTTTTACCAATAAAGCTTTATTGGAACACAGCCATATTCATTTGTTCAGGTGTTGCTTGTGGTTGCTTTTGTGCTATAGCCACAGAGCTGTGTAGTTGGGCAGAGAACACACAGCTCTTTATAGAAAAAGTACCAACATTTGATGTAGATGAAATCATAAATTCATAAGCCAATCAAATTCTTTTTTGTTATTTATTTATTTTTATTTAGAGACAAACTATTTGCTATGTTGCCCAGGCTGGCCCTGAACTCCTGGCTCAAGCAATCCTCCCAAGTCCCTAGTAGCTGCGACTGCAGGTGCATACCACCGTGCTGACCAAACTTTTCCGGCTTTATTCTTCTTTTGATTAAAAAGTAAAGCAATCAGAAGACTCCTTCAGCTTCCTGACTCTGTGCTGTGTTGCTTAGAAACTGGAATGCTAACAAGTACAGGTAGCCATGGGAGGGCTCATGGACAGGAGTGGCACTGAACTGTGCATGGGATGACTAAAGTGTGTTTGAGGGTCATTGACCTAAAGAATTGTGACTTAAAATCATACTCAACATGAACTTGCAACAATACACTTACACTGCTGATTGTAATTTGAAGATCATTTAAATGCTCCAGCTTCATGAAAAATTAGATTCGCTCAACAAACATTCAGTGCCTACTAGCATATGAAGTATTGTGGAAAGTTACAAAGGAAGATGAACAAGATCTAATTCCACAGTGAATTTTACAGTCCTCTGATTTTTTTTTTTTTAATTTTTTTGTGGTACTGGGGCTTGAACTCAGGGAATACCCCTTGAGCTCCTCCACCAGCCCTTTTTGGTGATGGGTTTTTTCAAGATAGGGTCTTCCAAACTATTTGCCCAGGCTGGCTTTGAACCACGATCCTCCTGATCTCTGCCTCCTGAGTAGCTAGGATTATAGGCATGAGCCATGGGTGCCAAGCTCAGTCCTTAGATTTTAACTAGCTTGATATGGTGTACTTTGCAGGCATTCTGGTTAGCTGTTATGCTGGTGAACTTAGTAATTGTCTTGCCTTTTTTATATCCAGCTTTGTCCTGCCAAGAAGTCACTGAGGATGAAGTCTTAGATGCGAGCTGCTTGCTGGATGTCTTAAGAATGTACAGATGGCAGATCTCTTCCTTTGAAGAACAGGTGAGCACAGCAGGCAGTAGGTTGAACTCCGACAATCCTTTCCCATAGTGACTGGGGGCCGGACCTGCATTGCCTAGCCTGTGATGTTTTTTTGCATTTGTGCAGTGCTAGGGATTGAGTCTAGAGCTTTGAACATGCTAGCCAAGTGCTCTATCAGGGAACTATAGCCCTGGATTTTTCTGTGACATTTTAGACAACGGTAGTGCTCTGGGACCAGATACCAACTCTCTTCCTGCCCTCATGATGAGAGAGGACAGATAGCTTTGTGTTATCCAGTGGATGGAAGGTTAGCAAGATGGGGCATATACAGACAGTTCCCAAAGAGGTAAAATCTTTTCATTTCTCAAGTGACTTTGCACTTCACTGGCTGATTCAGAAGCCTGGGTCCTTTAGAGAGGCAGGACATGTCACTCTAGAGCCTGGAGGTTCAGGTGAGACCTTTTTCTGGCTCACACCCTTGTTTCTTAAAAGACCAGTTTCTTTTTTTTTTTTTGGGGGGGTACCTTTTCCTTTTATTTATTTATTTATTTTTTCATTTTTCTTTTATTATTCATATGTGCATACAAGGCTTGGGTCATTTCTCCCCCCTGCCCCCACCCCCTCCCTTACCACCCACTCCACCCCCTCCCTCTCCCCCCCACCCCCTCAATACCCAGCAGAAACTATTTTGCCCTTATCTCTAATTTTGTTGTAGAGAGAGTATAAGCAATAATAGGAAGGAACAAGGGTTTTTGCTGGTTGAGATAAGGATAGCTATACAGGGCATTGACTCACATTGATTTCCTGTGCGCGGGTGTTACCTTCTAGGTTAATTCTTTTTGATCTAACCTTTTCTCTAGTACCTGTTCCCCTTTTCCTATTGGCCTCAGTTGCTTTAAGGTATCTGCTTTAGTTTCTCTGCGTTAAGGGCAACAAATGCTAGCTAGTTTTTTAGGTGTCTTACCTATCCTCACCCCTCCCTCGTGTGCTCTCGCTTTTATCATGTGATCAAAGTCCAATCCCCTTGTTGTGTTTGCCCTTGATCTAATGTCCACATATGAGGGAGAACATACAATTTTTGGTTTTTTGAGCCAGGCTAACCTCACTCAGAATGATGTTCTCCAATTCCAGGTTGGCTGGAATCAGAGGTTGGCTTAGAATCTTCAGTAGATGTTCTGTGCAACTCCAAGGCTGTTTTGCAGCCACCTTCACCTCCCTTTTCATGCAATCATTACAACTTGGTCACCCTCCTCCACCCCAGACCACACTTACCAGCAGTGAGTCTGAGGTGGAGGCCAGCAGAGAGAGACCTAGGGATGAAACACTTTAACTTTGCTATCGTGTTAAAGTGTGCTTCCCAGCCTTCTTTCCTGGGTGGCCCCATTCTGCTTTGTGTGGGCTGCTTCTGCCGCCATTGTCCAAACACTAGACCTGGGAAAGGGGAGGTAGCCTTTTGGATCTTCCCAACTGTGGAACTGGAGTAAGAAGCTTTTTTTTTTTTTTGCAGTACTGGGGCTTGAACTCAGGGCCTACACCTTGAGTCCCTCCACCAGCCCTTTTTGGCAGTGGTTTTTTTTAAGATAGGGTCTTTCAAACTATTTGTCTGGGCTGGCTTCGAACCTTGATCCTCCTGATCTCTGTCTCCTGAGTAGCTAGGATTACAGGTGTGTCACCAGTGCCGGGCCAGTTGGTCAAATTTTTTTTTTTTTTTGGTGGTACTGGGGATTGAACTCAGGCTTTTGAGCTTGCTGGGTAGTCACTCTACACCTAAGCCTCCAGCCCCCACATTTTAAAAAACATGAAAAGGAAGAGAGGAGGGCTTTCTAGTACCCCTTAGTTTCAAAGACTAGCTCTTATTTCTGCTCTTTAGTCCAAAGCTATGTGTTCCTTTTTAAACACAAAGTTGATGATATCTTTACTTTCTTAAAATGTGTCTTGATTGGTGGAGTGGCTCAAGTGGTACAACACCTGCCTAACAAACTTTGCAAGTGTGAGGCTCTGAGTTCAAGCCCCAGTACTGCAAAAAAATAAATAAATAAAAATAAAAAAAGAAGTTAAAATGCATCTTAATTTGTATATTGAAATGTTTTTCTACTTAGAAAGTATTTTTTTAATCCTCTGGTGACTGGAATTATTTAGCTGCCTTTTACAAGTCTCTCAGTTGAGAGAATGTCTTTGAGAGAAGTCCCTAAGGACAGATAACTTTTGTAAGTCCCACCCCTCCCCCACAGACCCGCTTGAGTCTGCATTCCTCCGTGAAGTGTCTACAGCTCCTCAGCCCACCGCCATCACTGGGCCAGGTGGTGTGGTGGCTTGTGCACATGTCTGACTGTTGGTCTCCTGCTCTTTGCAAGAAGGCATCCACAGCTTCTGTCATGGGCCTTGTGTACATCTGCAGCACTCCTGATCTAGTCAGCCCACTGCCCACTGTCACTGACCATCAGCCCATTTTCTGTGTCTGCAGCAAGAGCTAGTGGACACACCTTCTTTACATGAATTACCTTATTTAATCTTCCCCACAACTCTGTAAGGAGTGTGATTATTATGCCCATGTTACAGATGGGCACATTGAGGCTCCAAGGAATGAAGTGCTTTGCCCCTTCAGAGACATAGCCTGGATTTGAGACTCTGATGTTGAAGCACACACTCTCAAGTACTCTTCCTTTCTTTGAGGCTGGGTAGCTGCATGACTGACCGACTGACAGGATAGGATGTAGCTCTGACTGTGTCCTTGTCCTTTCTCAGATTATTTCCAGGCCAGGCCCAATGCCTTATTTCTGAAGGCTTCTTGAGTGTACGAAAAGAGCATATTCTCCTCCCAGGGCTTCGCTGGGCTTGAGCTGTTGGCTAATGCCTGGGCTGCCATGTTTGCCTCTGGACTATGAGTCCCTAGGAGCAGGAACCTTGCATTTCTTATCTCTGCCTCTCTGCCACCCTCCTAAGTGAAGGTTATAGCCCAGCAGGGGATTTACTTATATATGCAAAAAATACTCCTCAAGTGCATACTGCGACAAGGCCTATTGAGCACAGAGAGGTTGTAGCAGTCAGAGTGACTTTCTGGGTTCCCACCTTTCATAGAGTTTGGACTCTTGGTAGGAGGTGGGGCTGCAGATAATAAACAGGTAGTTTCAAGATGTGCTGTCAAGAAATAAACAGGGTGTTGTTTTTTTTTGTTGTTGTTTTGGTTTGGTGGCACTGGTGTTTGAACTCAAGGCCTCACACTTGCTAGGCAGGCACTCTACCACTTAAGCCACTCCACCAGCCCTAAACAGGCTGTTGTGACAAAGCACGAGGTGGGAGGCGCATGGTTGGGGACAGGGTATGGGGAGAAAAGCCACAGTGGAAGCTGCTTTAGACAGGGCAGGCTTTTCTGGAGAATTGAGTTTTCAGCTGAGATTTGAAGGATGACCAGGAGAGAGGCTGATGGAGACCTGAGTGCAGAGTTTTCCAGATGGAGGAGTAAGCCAGAGCAGAGACCTGGATCTGGGAGAGGGCAGGAGACATGGGTAGGGTGGTAGCTATGGTTGGGAGGGAGCAGCTTGTGCAGGACCTGGGCAACAGGGTCATTCTGTGATTAGAGGGGTGGGCACAGAGGGCTTGGAGTAGTGCACTGGCTTGATCCAACTTCTGTGGAAAAAGGAAGGTCTGTGAGAGCAAGAATGAGAGCTGGGGAAAGGTGGGAGACTGCTGTGCTTCCTGGTCCAGAGTGGCTTGGTGCCCACTGGCTTGAGGCAGGGAATGGAGAAGCCTCAGGAAGTTAGGGCACATTTGGAAGCAGAGCCTCAGGTTTGCTGTGGACCTGTAGGGTGACAGTGAAGTGGGCAGGCATCTTTGGGTAGCTGGTAAGGGAGAGCTCCTGAGAAGGAGCTATTTCAGAGAGGTCTGAAGGATGGGAAGGAGTAGCCAGATGAAGATGAGGGTATGGTCCAAAAGAGGAATAAGATTAGTGTGCTCCAGGACTACAGAAGAGGCCAGAGCTGCAGCTCATCAAGGAGGGGGAGTTCTAGGAGGTGTGTCTGGCTTTCAGTTAGGGGCTTTGGAAAGCATTACAGGTAGGTCAGGAGGGTGGCTTTCCACTGGCAGTGAAAGCCACCAGGAAGCTGGAGGCAGAAGATCAAAGTCATCTGCCTTTTAAAAGATCGTCAGAAAGCTGGGGATGTAGCTCAGTGGTGGAGCTCTTGGCTAGCATGCATGAGGCCTTGGGCTCATCTCCAGTACTGCCAAAACAAAACAAGAATAAATAAAAAGCAAAAGATCATTGATCACAGCTAGCCTTTAGGTGAAGATAAGTGTATCTTCACCAGTTTAAAAGATCACCATTTGAGGCCTCAGGGTCAGAGCCCTGACAGCTGGGAGGGAGCAGGGAGAGCAGTGAGGCGTGGCTTTGGCTTTTTGGGAGTGTCTCCTGCCCTGTGATCTAGCAATGCCACTTCTCAGTGCATACCAAGAAGTTGAGTGCAGGGATTCACATGAGTGTTTGTCCACTCGTAGCAGACTTATAAGTAGAAGCAACCCATGTGTCCACTGATGGTGAATAGATGAGGAAAAAAAGTGTGTGTGTGGGGGGGTACTTCCAGGAATAGAACCAGGGCCTTGTGTGCATTCCCCTAAGCTATACCCTCAGTCCAAACAAAACATTTACACAATGCAATATTGTTCAGCCTTAAAAAGGAAAGAGATTCTGATATATGCTACAACCTTGATAAACCTTGAGGATATTATGCTCTGTGAAATAAGCCAGTCACAAAAGGATAAATACTGTGATTCCACTTATGTGAGGTACCTTGGATTGTCACATTTCTGAAGACAGGAACTAGAATGGTGGTTGCTAGGGTCTGGAGAATTAGTGTTTAAAGGGTATGGAGTTTCCGTTTAGGAAGAGGAAGGATTTAGAGATGCAGGTGGTGATGGCAGCACAACAGTATAATGTACCTAATGCCACCAAGGCATATACTTAGAAAAGGCCAAGGGCTGCAGATGTGGCTCAAGCAGTAGAGCACCTGCCAGCAAGCACAAGGCCCTGAGTCCAAACCCCAGTGCCACCAAAAAAAAATACAGTAAAGATGTTAAATTTGATGTTAGGTGTCTTTTACCACAATTTTTAAGAAAATGCTCCTTTGGAGTTGGATGGAGTAGAGGAACAGAGGTGAGAGCTATCTCAGTAAAGCTGATGCAGGCTCAGAGGCTGCTGGCCTGCAGGTAGCCAACCTACTTGCTTTCCTTCTCCATCCTCTTGGGTCTCTGAGTTGAGCGTGAGAGTCCACATTTGTGAAAACATCTAGGATGTAATAGTTTTCATTCAATGAGCAGAACCCTGAGAAGGTAGAATGCAAATTCTGCCTCCATTAACTGTCAGGGTCTGCCTGATGGTTCACATGGGAGGGCGGTTCTGATCCTGCGCTTGCCTCATCAGGCCTCTGAAGAATGCTTTGCCCTTTGACAGGATGCTCACGAGTTATTCCATGTCATTACCTCATCACTGGAAGATGAGCGAGACCGTCAGCCGAGGGTCACACATTTGTTTGATGTGCATTCCTTGGAGGTAAACCATTAATATTTTCAGTATAACCAGTTCGTGCAAGTTTAGTAAGTATAGGAAGTACAAATACAATCTTTGTGTGACCTTAAATACAAATGTATGATTCAATAAAAAAATCAGGAATGGGGGTGTGGCTCAAGTAGTAGAGCAGCTGCCTAGCAAGCTTGGGGCCTTGAGTTCAAACTCATTACCTTAAAAAAAATCCAGGGGCTGGGATGTAGTTCGGTGGCACAGCGCTTGCCTAGCATGCGTGAGGCCCTGGGTTTGATCCCAGCACCAAAAAAAAAGACAAAAAAAAAATCCAGAGTGAGAACGAGGCTGTCTTAAATGACCTACTTTTCAGTTGCTGCCTTTGGCTGGGAATGTCAGGCTCTTTACCATGATTCATTACTGCACTTTGTGTTGGCTTTGAGAAGAAAGAATGTATTAGGGAGTTGATAGAAGTTAACTATTAAAGGGGAAAATATTCCAGACAGAGAAAATATGTTTTGATTATATTTGATGAAGGAATACACCAGAGATGATAATTAAGGCTACTTTTTTAGAAACATGGGCTTTGTTCAAAGTTGATTTTGTATAGTGTAGTCAGCCCAGAAACTTTTGGGGTGGTGAGGGTAGTGAAAGGGATTACAGTGGGGTTTTCAGTCTTGTTTCTCTTTTTTTTTCTTTCCCTATAGAAACAGTCAGAAATAACTCCCAAAGAAATAACCTGCTGCACAAGAGGTAGTCTTTTTCCATTCAAATGTAACACATAAGTTGTGTACTTTTTTAGATATGTCAATAATTTGTTTTAAAAAGTTTTTTTTTTTTTCTGGTGACATTCAATCTAGCTTGATCTGTGATGTACTTGCAAAGGAACTTGTGTTTTGGAAACAGCTTTTAGTGCATGTCTTCATGTTTCCTTACACCCCTGGCCTGCTCAGGTTCATCTGGACAGACTCACTTATACTATAAAGAAAGGCTTTCTTTTTCCTCCTTGAATTGCAGATCCTGGGAAGAACTCAGGAAACTGAATCTTCAGCATTTGGCCAACTTTTATTGCAAATTATTTTAGTTCTCCCTAGATAGAAATCCTTATTTTCTTAAAACTTAAAAAATTAATAAAACTGACACATCAATTCCTTTGGGTAATAGTAGCAATAGAAATAAATATTTTTAGAGCCCATACTGTGTGCCAGGTATTGCAGTTTCTCATCTAGGTCTCTCAACACCTCTATGAGGTTGAGGACAATGGGATAATTATTAACCCCATTTCCAGCAAAGGAGACTTACAGGGACTAAATGACTTCCCAGGTCATGCAGCTAAAAAGAAGAGAGCCAAGACTGAGCCTAGGGCCACCTTGACTCCACAGCAAGTGTTTCTCCATAGTGTTTACTCTGTTAACTCCTATCCTAACCAGAGAATATTCCAGTTCTTCAGAACCTGCTCATCTTTACGGAGTGCACCCTGGTGGGAGCCTTCTTTTGATCTCTCTAACATTTTAAGCAGTTGTTTGTAAGAAGATGTCATTAAATGCAGATCCTTTTTAAATTTGGCTGTTCCCATTGTACCAAAGTCCTTTGTAAAGTCCTGTAGAAGTGGCCTGAGAGAGAGGGTGTCTGCCTGGTGGAGGTCAGCGAAGAAAGCTCTTTAATGTACTTTTCAAGGACATCTTTTCTAAGGAAAGAGCTTCTACTCTAAAAAAGGAGGGTGAACTTTGAGGTTGGTGCCAAAAGGCTAAATATGGCATCCTAAAAGACATTTTGCATTCTAGGGTCTCCTCACCCCTTGTCCCTTCACTGGAAGTCTCAGCATCCTTTTCATGGAAGACTTACTAGTAACATGGTCTGCAAACACTGTGAACACCAGGTAAGTGCACACCAACCCTTGTTATTTCTGTGAGGCTTTCTCCAGTTGGGACTCAGGAAAGGACCTTGAGAGTGGGGCTGACCTCAGTGAATGGTGTCTGTGATTGTCGGCTCTGCACACCTTGCAGACTGACTGCCCACCTTGGTCAGTACCACCTGTCATTTAATCCTTAGAGGTACCTTCTCCACCAGGAGCATCAGACTTGCTGTGGATTGCAGGATTTTGAGTCTAATATTGAGTTTATGCTTACAGTGGTTCACAACAGATTCTAGAACTGGGGTGTTTGAGGTTTTAATTTTTTTTCTTTTTTTTTAAGTGCTGGAATTCAGGTGTGTACCACCACACCCTACTGCAATAATTTTATTGTGGAAAATTTTCAGTATAATACAAAGATAGAGAATTTCACAGCGGTCACCTCAATCAATTTTAGGACATTTTTGCTACCACAGCCCCCAAGAGAAACCCTACCACAGCCCCCAAGAGAAACCCTGTGTCCATTTGTAGTGTCTTCCATTCTCTATCCCCCATGCCCCTGGCAACCACTAATCTACCTCTGTCTCGATGGACCTGCTCATTCTGGACATTCCCTAGAAATGGAATCACCTGTGTATTCTTTTGTGTCTGGCTGCTGTAACTCAGCATAATAGTTTCAGCTGAGGTTCTTTCATGTCAAAGTGTACTTCATTCCTGTTTGTAACTGATTCAGTACTGTACTGCAGGGACATACCACAGTTTGCTTATTTGCTCTTCAGTTGATAGGCATTTGGATTGTTTCCATTTTGGGGCTGTTATATACAATGTTTTTTTTTTCCCTTCATTTTAATTAGGATATATGCATTGTATGGGGGGATTCATTGCAACAATTCTGAATAGGTTTACATTGTACATTGTTTAGTTTGCCCCCACCATCTCCTCTCCTCATCACCCTCCTTCCCTACTTAAAGCAATTGCAGGAGGTTTCATTATTCTTTTTTGTATATGTATATGAAGTCCGTCAACCATATACCCTCACCTTAACTCCTTTGTTCACCTTCCCCCCTTCCTCAAGTTATAACCAAACGCTTTCTTTCATGTCAAAGTGTACTTCATTTTGTAACTGATTCAGTACTGTACTGCAGGGACATACCACAGTTTGCTTATTTGCTCTTCAGTTGATAGGCATTTGGATTGTTTCCATTTTGGGGCTGTTATATACAATGTTTTTTTTTTCCCTTCATTTTAATTAGGATATATGCATTGTATGGGGGGATTCATTGCAACAATTCTGAATAGGTTTACATTGTACATTGTTTAGTTTGCCCCCACCATCTCCTCTCCTCATCACCCTCCTTCCCTACTTAAAGCAATTGCAGGAGGTTTCATTATTCTTTTTTGTATATGTATATGAAGTCCGTCAACCATATACCCTCACCTTAATCTCCTTTGTTCACCTTCCCCCCCTTCCTCAAGTATAACCAAACGCTGTGCCTATTTCACAGTCCTGTCTTTCATTATTAATTCCTAAGTCAATGTTCAAAGGGGTTTCTCCATGTATACCCACTGTGAGTAGACTTGACTTTGGTCAGTTCCCCTCCTCTGTTATGCTCCCTTACCCCTTCTCTCTCACAGCAGCTTTTAATACATATCCTATATCGTCGACCTGCACAGATGTTAAGTATTTCGATATTGCTGATGCTCTGTCATTCTCTTTTTCCTTTCCCTCCTCCACCGAGTTCCATAGAGCAGTTCCACTGTTACAGACACATTCTACATATTCATTTGTATATTATTATTTTTGTTTTTGTGTACATGTTTATCTTTTGGATCTTTTGTGTACAGATTTTTATGTGGACATGTATTTTTATTTCAGTCAGGTAAATATGTGGGAGTAGAATTGCTCCCTCGTGTGGTAACTGTAGGTTTAACCTCTTGGAGAACTGCCAGACTGCTTCCCAAAGTGGCTACCCCACTTTCCCTTCCCATCAGCAGGCGGGAGAGGTCTGGCTTCTCCACTGCCTCACCAGCACTTGTACTACTGATTTTTTGGTTCCAGCCACCCTTGTGGTTATGAAGTGGTGTCTCAGTGTAGGTTCTTTCTTTACCACTCTACGGAATAGTGGACAAATAAAAATTGCATGTACTTAAGATATACAAAGTAATGGTTTGATATGTGTATACATTGTGAAATTATTACCACAACCAAGCCAGTTAACACATCCATTTCCCTGTGTGTGCCGTTAGAACACTTAAGATCTGCTCATAGGAAATTCTAAGTAGAAACTACTGTAGTCACCATGCTATGTCCTGGATCATCTTGTAACTGAAGGTTGGTGCCAGTATCTCTCCATCCCTCCCCATGCCTCATAATCCCCATTCTTCCTTTTCCTTCTGTAGGTCAACTTTTCTAGGTCCACACTTAAGTGAGATCATGTGCTATTTATCTTTCTGTTTCTGCATTATTTCATTTAGCATGTAATATACTCCAGGTTCTTCAGCTATTATAAATGGCTGGAGTTCCTTCTTTTTATGGCTGGATAATATTCCTCTGTGTGTGTACCACATTTTCTTTTTCTGTTTATTTGTTAAAGGATACTGAACATGTTTCCTTATCTTGGCTATTATACATAGTGCTGCAGTGAACATGGGGGTACAGCTGTCTTTATGAGGGAAGGAATTTATTTCCTTTGGGTAGGTAACCCAGAGAAGGGATTGCTGGGTTATATGGTAGTTCTGTTTTGTTTTTTTTTTTTAAACTTTTTTTCAGGACAAGGGTTTGAACTCAGGGCTTTGTTCTTGCTAGATGGTGCTTTACCACTTGAGCCATACCTCCAGCCTGAAATGATCATATTTTATTCCTTTTATTTTTTTGTGGTATTGGGATTTAAACTCAGGGCCTACACCCTGAGCCACTCACCAGCCACCCCCTTTTTGTGATGGGTTTTTTGAGATAGGGTCTTGAAAACTATTTGCTTGGGATGGTTTCAATCACAATCCTCTGATCTCTGCCTCCTGAGTAGCTAGGATTACAGGCATGAGCCACCAGCACCTGCATATTTTATCCTTTATTATCCATTAATGTGCTGAATTAACATTTTTTCTTGGTATTAAAGCAGCTTTGCATTTCTGGGATAAAAACCTATTTGTGATATATATTCTTGTTACATTACTGGACTCGATTTGCTAGTATTTTTCTGAAGGATATAGTCTCTGTGTTCAGGAGGAATACTGTCTTACTGTGTTCTCCTCCTGCAATGTCTTTGATAAGTTTTTGCCGTACAGAGTATACCAGATCATAAAAGTCAGCTAGAAATGTTCCCTTCTGTTCCTGAAAGATCTCATTTAATATTGGTATTATTTCTTCCTTAAATATAATCTCAAGAATTTGTTCTTTCTGTAGTTCTTTCTTTTTTTTTTCTGAATAAACTTTAGTATTAGATCTAAGCACAGGTTATCACGATTGTCATGGCAAAAGTCTCTCTTCTTTGGTTCATCTACTTGAATGATTCAAATCTATTCGTGATTTTTTTTCAATCTACTAGTGTTCTTTCCTATATTTCTTTTCTTTTCTCTTATTTTTGACCTATCTTTATATTTAAGGTATGACTTTTATAGACAGCATATAATTGGGTCTTGATTTTTTTTATCCAGTTTGACAATCTGCCTCTTAATTTGAGTGTTTAGTCCATTTACATTTAATGTGAATATTTATATGATTGGATTTAGGTCTATCATTTTACCATTTGTTTACTGTTTGTTTTCTATTATTTTTAAATTTTTAAATTTTTAAAAATTTTACCTGTCCTCCTTTACTGGTTTCTTTTGGATTAAATGAATGCTTTTTTAGTGTTCTGTCATAATTCCTTTGTTGGACTTTTAGATTTTTGTGTGTATGTGTCTGTGTATGTGGTTATATCATGCAACTTGGCTACATCACAGTCTATTTGAAGTTACTATTATACTCCTTCATGTAGAGTACTGGAATAGTATAAAAGTATAACTGTTACCCACCCTTTGCTATTTTTGTGATATACATTACATCTGTATACATTATAAACCCCACAATACTGTCAATACTGTATTATAATCTGCTTTAACTATTTTGTTGCCAGGCAACAAAAAAAACCAGTGACTGATGCCTGTAATCCTCGCTACTTGGGAGGCAGAGATCGGGAGGATGGTGGTTCAAACCCAGGCTTGGCAAATAGTTCTCAAGACCCTATCTTGAAAATACCCAATACTAAAAGGGCTGGCAGAATGGCTCAAGCAGTAGAGTGGCCTGCCTAGCAAGTGTAAGGCCCTGAGTTCAAACCCCAGTACCTCAAAAAGAAAAAAGTTTTATTTATAATAGGGGTCTCACTATGTCGGCCAGGCTGGGCTCAAGTAATTCTCCTGTGCCTGCCTCCCAAGTAGCTGGGCATACAGGAGTGCTCCACTGCACTCAATGCTAGTTATGTGTATTTTTAGGAAATTAAAATAAAAAATACTTTACATTTACCATTTTTGGTGTTCTTCAGTCTTTCCTGTAGGTCTAAGTTTGTTTGTTACACTTTCCTTCCAGCCTAAAGGCTCCCTTTTTATATGTCCTGTGTCCTGATCACCAGCAGATGCAGGTGTATGGCATTTCTAGAAGAATGCTTTTGCTTTGCCCTACCTTTTAAAGAACAATTTTGCTATATATAGAGTTTGGGATTGGCAGTGTTGCCATTCTTTGGTTTTGGTTTTTTTTATTTTATTTTTTATTTGTTTATTTATTTTTTATTTCCTTTATTCAGATGTGCATACAATGTTTGAGTCATTTCTCCCCCCTTTCCCCTGCCACCTCCCTTTCCCTGGTTATGGTTTATTTTAAATTCGTCATTCTAAAGACTTTGTTTTGTTTTCTTCTGGCCCCCTTTTTTTTTTTTCAAGTTAGTGTCAGTCATATTGTTCTCTGTAAAGTATTATTTTTTTAAACTTTGCTTACAATATTATTTTCCTTGTTTTTGTCCATCCTGTGTAGATATGGTTTTCTTAGTGTGTGTCCTGCTTGGAGTTTACTGGGTTTCTTAAATCTGTATGTTCATGTTTTTCCCCTAATTTGGAAGTTTTACAACCATTATTTTTTCAAAAAAGATTTAACACCCATTCTCCACTTGACGTTGCTCCACGATCACTGATGCTTTGTTATTTCTCACGAGTGTTGCCCTGTGCTTTTCCAGTTAGGTCATTTCTGTTGACCCATCTTCAAGTTCACTGACTCTTTTCCACCTCCAATCTCTGTTTGCCTTTCCAACAGATTTTTCTCATTTTATTCTTTTTAGTTGTAAAATTTTCAAATTTCCATCCCCTTCTTTTTAATCATTTCTCTGCTGTTGAGTGTGTCCATTTGCCTATTCACAATAAATGTCTATTTTCTTTTCTGTCCTCGAGCAGATGTCTAATACATCTGTAGTTATTGCATGCTAATTTCAACATCTAGGTCATCTCTTTTTTTCTTCACCATGGTTTACATTTTTCTCTTTCTTTGCATTGCATATCTGACATTATAATAGAGACCTTGGGGTTTTTATGTTTCTCTAAAGGAAAAGGAATTTTGTTCTGGCAGGTGTTAACTTGGCTGGACTCAAATTCCAAACTCTGTCTCCTTTAGGCAGCAGGATCTCTGCTCAGTTGTTTCAACTTCCGGCTACCGCCTTGCCAGCCCCCCAGAGTCTCGCTGTTCATGTGTGGTTCTGTGGTCAGCACTTGAATTGGGCAGTCTCTACAAGGAGCTTACCGTATTCATGGATTTATTACATGTGGTTTTGACTAAGCAGGGTCCAAAAAAAAAATTCCATGCACACATTAGGCAGCTCAGTTGCTGCAGAGAAACTCTATCAGTCCTGTGTTATCTCTGCTTATGTTTAAACCCTGCGTCCTAAGCATTTGTGGGTTTTCCCCAGTGGCAGTTTTCTTGGAACCGTGTACCATAGGTACCAAGGGACTACCATACACAGACTTCTGGGATCATCCTCTCTGTGTCTCCCTTCTTTTGAGGGTTTCCTGGAGTCTTTCTGACAGCTCAGTTCTGTAAGAGAGCTGCTTTCTGTCACCCAGCACTGTGTAGAATTGGCAAAAATGCCATAAACGGCAAATGTCACCCGTAAAGTGCCTGTTTTTCTGAGTTGACTTCTTTTCAATCTCTGCTTGTTTTTGGTAGCTCTCTAATCATTCAAATAGTTTTGTTTTCTTTCAGTCCAGATTATACCATTGTTATCTATAGGGGAGGGTAAGTTTAAAATACTCTTCCATTTCCAAAAGCAGAATGCCTACCTTATTTTACCATCTGCTTCTATTTTACTTTTTATAATTTTTTTTTGCAATTAATGATATAGCATGAACATCTCTCCACATAATCACACATTCTCAGGCCAGGTGCAGTGGCTCATGCCTGTAATCTTAGCTACTTGGGAAGTGAAGATGGAGAGGATCACAGTTCAAGGCCAGCCCTGGCAAAAAGCTAGTGAGATCCCATCTCAACCAATAAAGGCTGGGTATGCTTCTGACTTACACGGAGAGTGTAAATAGGATTGTGGTCCAGGCTGGCCCTGGCGTAAACACAAGACTGTATCTGAAAAATACCTAAAACAAAAGGACTGACGATGTGGCTCAAGTGGTAGGCTGCCTGTCTATCAAGCTCAGGACCTGAGTTCAAACCCCAGTACTGTCAAAAAGAAAAAAGAAAAATCACACATTCTCCCACTACATTCTGTTAGTATGCTCTTTAATTCTGTGGGCATGCTGCAGTGTAATTGCTCATTCCCTGGAGGGGTCAGCTATCCAGGTGCTATGAATAATGCCGTAATGGAATGCCATTGTGTTCATGGCTATTTCCTTACGATGCAGTCCCCAAAGCTGCTAAGTCAGGTATGTATCTTACAAGTTTTCCAAGCTGTTCTGTAGCTCTTACTGTAACTCTTAAGTGTCCGAGGTTGTTTTTATAGAATTTGTATCCAAATATGCTATGTTTTAATTATGTTAATTTGGCATATGTCGCTGATCTGTTGAATTGAACCTAAGCCCTTTCTGGATTTTCTACAATACTTGTTTCAGAGTCCTGTTCGATTTGACACCTTTGATAGCCTTTCACTCAGCATTCCAGCTGCCATGTGGGTATGTACTGACCTCTGCCTTATTTGGGTCCATTGTGGAGATATTTTAGTCTGAAAGGGCTTTGAGGCATTTTATGTGGCCCAGATTTTGTGTGTCATTCTGACCCGTGGTCAGCTGAACCCATCTTAACTTTAGTCTGTGTTACCAGTGCCTGATTAGAGGATGAGAAAGGCTGATGGTTTCTCTTATTGCAGAAATGTTTGCTTTTTCAACACACACACATACTTATCTCAAACTCAAAGGTACCTAAAAATGTGGAAGTCCATAATTTTCTAGAATATTCTGTCCTCTTACTCTTGAGTTTGTCCGTAGAAGCAGCGTAGGGTGTTTTGAGCTTCATCTTTATTCAGGAAACTCAGTCCTCTCTGTGAAGCTTATTGTTTCTGTACTCCGAAATAAAGCTGTGGAATTCACCCTGCCACTGCTAATGGTTTCCATGTTGCTCTCTTTTGAGTTGTAATTTTCTTCTTATGCTGTAGGGTCATCCACTGACCCTGGACCACTGCCTTCACCACTTCATCTCATCAGAATCAGTACGGGATGTTGTGTGTGACAACTGTACAAAGGTATATGTGGCCTGTGTGTGTGTCTATAGCACCTCTCACACCATTGGCCCTGAACTCTTCCTACTGCTGTTTCCTCTGACTGGGTTTGGAAAATGACTTCCTTTGTAGTTTTGTTTCCTAAATGAGATTTGTTTCATCCACAGTATTTAAAGAAAAAACCTGAGTGTGGTACCTGGAGTTGGGTCATGCCCTCTCCAATTTGCACAGTCCCCTCCATTCCCACTTATCTCACCCTCTGCCTTTGCACCTATGCTACTTGACTGCCTCCCCGCATAATTCCCCTGCATCGAGAAGAACTATATGCACAGAAATTCTGAAGACAGAAAAACAAAATAGATTGCATGCCACCGCTGAAGCTTCAGTGTTGATTCTTCACTTTCCCTTCCATCCACGGCTACTGTTACTAAATGACAGAGAGGACTCAGTGAGAACAGTTTCAAACAGCTGGACAGCTGAGCGATTTCAGCACATAGTTACCAAGTACCATCCATATGCAGTGTAACACCAGTCCCCAGCAGTTGGCTACTCCCCATAGATATCCTGCTCCAGGGATTCCTGCAGAGAAATGCTATTGCTTTTATTTCAGATTGAAGCAAAAGGAACATTGAACGGGGAGAAAGTGGAACACCAAAGGACAACTTTTGTTAAACAGTTAAAACTTGGGAAGGTGAGCCCACCATGCTCCTGGTTGGCTTCCCTTTGGAGGGACCCTGTGTCCCGCTCCTGGGACTTCTTAGCTCTTTCTGTTCCTCCCCTGCCCACAGCTCCCTCAGTGCCTGTGCATCCACCTGCAGCGACTGAGTTGGTCCAGCCACGGCACGCCCCTGAAGCGGCACGAGCACGTGCAGTTTAATGAGTTCCTGATGATGGACATCTATAAGTACCGCCTCCTGGGACACAAACCCAATCAGCACAGCCCCAAGCTGCAGGAGATGCCAGGGCCTGCGCTGGAGCTGCAGGACGGGCCTACAGCCCCCAAGCCAGGTGCTGCCTGCGTGACAGTTGGCCCAGGGAACAGGGATTTGGCACTACCCCTTCTGGGTCCTTAGGACATGAGTGCAAGGCTCATGCAGGGGCTACTTAAGTTCTTGAGAGGGTCTGGAACAGGGAGATTTCTTTTTTTCTTTTTTTAGGGGGATGGCAGTGGTGCTGGGGATGGAACCCAAGGCCTCACTCACTTCATACTGGGCAAGCACTGGACCACTGAGCTACATCCCCAGCCAGATTCCTTGAAGAGGGTAAAATTAGAGAGTAATGAAATATATAGGCTTAAACGCTATTGCAGAGGCAAAGAATAGGAAGAAAAGCTTCAGATTGCTGCCTTGCCTTTTGCTCTCATGGCTAAACAGCAGTCACCTCTCCAGTGAGTCTCTCTTTCTTCCCTCCCCCAAGATAGCCATCTCACTTATGCATGAAGAGATGCTTGCCTGAGGGTCACTGAACATCTGCTTGGGCTGACGTGATGTCTTCCTCAATCACTCATCTCACTCCGTTACTGATCTCTGTGGCTAACTGTTGGTGGGCTCCCACTTTGGCAACACAGCAGCATTACAGTATTGCCCTCAGTCTTCTAATGGAAAATTGAGGCCTCACAAGGGGAACAAGCAGGGCAGTCAGCAAAATGCAAGAAGTGGTCTAGAATGTGACATTTTAAAGGCAGCATATGTGAGACACTGAGTTCTTTGGAGTTACACATGAGGAAAACCTGCTGACTTAGGGCTCCAAGCCTGAGCTCACCACCTGGATATGTCCCCTTATTAAGCCAGGACTGTTTTCTCACACCCCCCATACTTTCCCGTCTGAGTGTCCCTTACACCTTTTATTCTTTTTTATAACTACAACTGCATGGCCTGGCATGATGGCGTTTCAGGGAGACCTTGTTTTGCTTTTTCTCACCAGGTCACTAGATTAACATGGAGAACAGCTGAGGTGGGGAGGTAGCGAGAGGCCTCAGCCCTTGGCTTCTGTTTTAAATCAAGGGCCTCTTCATCCTAGCCTCCTCCTTCCCCAGGCAGAGGTGCAGGTCTGCTAATGTTCGGAGAATGGTGGCTGTGGCCAAGATGCTAGTAGTAAACTACTTGGTACATGAAGCACTCAACTATGACACCTGAAAGGAGAGGATGTAAATATTACCTTAACTTTTTCTCTTGTGGTGCTGGGAATGGAACCCAGGGCCTTGTGCAGGCTAGGCAAATTCTCCACTACCGAGCTACATTCCCAGCCTTTGGTTTTTAGAGATGTGGTCTTACTTTGTAGCTCAGGCTGGCCTGGAACTCACTGTGTAGCCTAGGGTGGCCTGGAATTCAAGATCATCTTGCTTTAATTTCCTGATTACAGGCAAGCACACAACACCTGGCTCACCGTGGTTATTTTTATCTAAGTCATAAGGGTTTATTAATGCTGCTACACATTGGTGTTCCTTAGAAGTTAATAGAATTAAAGAGAAGATTTAGGTTCATTCTTCTCAGTGTAGAGCAGTGGGGGATGTTGGGCAGTGTTCAGTGACAGTTTTGGTTGTCCGTATGGAAAGGGTGCCGCCGGCATCTGAGAACCCTGGGTTTAGGTCAGAAGTCAGAAGCCGCTGGTCACGTGTGATACATGTCACTAACAAGTGAGGGTGGGAATCTCGGAGGCAGTGTTGTTGTCAAGGCAGCAGCAGATCCTGTGCTGGACACACTTTCCTATTTGAAACTAAGTATTTGGGGACAAAAAATAGGAAAGTCTATGAATCAGTTTAATACAAAATGGAATTTTTGTTCTTTGCAGCATTATGGGGAGTTTATTTTCAAGGTAATCAAAACCATGCTTTGTTTAACCCAAGGCCACTGCTAATTTTCATTGACTCAGATCTTTTTCTCTTGCAGTTCTGAATCAGCCAGGGACCCCCAAAGCACAGATTTTTATGAATGGCACCTGCTCCCCATCTTTACTGCCCACCTTGCCACCCCCAGTGCCCTTCCCTCTCCCAGCTACTCCTGATTACAGGTGAGCCCCTACCCGGGACACTGTCTTCACTCCCTCTTCAGGCTCTGAGCTTAGCTTTTCACTAACAGCAGCTAATGGAAATGTAGTGGCGAATTTTTTTCTTTCATTTTAAAGTGGAATTTCACTGTTTATTACACATTCCCACTTACTTTTGGCCAAAATGGAAATAACTTTAAAATAAGAATTACAAAAATATATAAAATGTGCATATAAATGTGCATGTGTATATATAAAATATAAATAAAGAAGAAAATTTGAAGTTCTTGGGATGCCACCTAGATAAATAGATCTTTGATCACCCACTGTATGAAGGTATGTGTGTACAGATCCACACTGCGTACACACATGCACTCATTTGATACCGACATCCATGTGTGCCCTGTACAGACACTCAGCATGGGCATCTTGCCATGCCAGTAAGCACAGGCCTGAACTCTAGTATTCGGTTGTGTGATGGTAACTGTGTTGGTACCCTGTGGTTTCACATAGAGGTTCTTTTATATTTTGTTTTTGCCTACAAGGCCTGTTTTATTGATAAACCAATGGCATTTGTTCCCACCCTTCAGTTCCTCCATGTACCTCTTCCGGCTGATGGCAGTTGTCGTCCACCATGGGGACATGCACTCTGGACACTTTGTCACGTACCGACGGTCCCCACCTTCGGCCAAGAATCCTCTCACAACCAGCAACCAGTGGCTGTGGATTTCTGATGACACTGTCCGCAAGGCCAGCCTGCAGGAGGTCCTGTCCTCCAGTGCCTACCTGCTGTTCTATGAGCGCGTCCTATCCCGCATGCAGCAGCAGGGGCAGGAGTGCAGGGCTGAGGAGTGACTGCCCAGCCAGTTAGGGCCCGTGGCATGGCCCACAACGTCCGGGACAAAAGCAAAGGCATGTGTGTCCACATGTGTGCGTGCACACCCAGCCCTCTAAAGCCCCTCAGCCTTCTGTGTGTTTGTCGGCAGGCTCCACACTGGAGCCAACCCTGAGCAGCTCTGCGTGTGTGCTGGAAGGTGTCCTCGAGTTAGGACAGTGTTCATTGTCTCTAGAGCGTCTTTTACTCATCGGATACAGGTAATTAAAAGAAACAGACTCCAGAAGCCACCTTGTCTATATTGTAATAGCAGGATGTTCTCAGAGAGGAGTTCTCTTTGTATAATCCTCTGATGTTCAGCATACATCTTTTATTTTTAATAAGAAGGCCCATACTAATTGTTGACAAGAATTATTGAATTAAAGGCAACAATTTAGAAAAGTGCCTTTTGCTTTTGTAGTATGTCCATTCTGAGAAATAGTTATCTGAGTGGTATAAACAATTTTTAAAAAGCTCTCTTCCTTCCAAGTTACTGGAGGTCAAAAGAAAGTTAAAAGATGCCTGAGGAACACCTCCCCCACTTTTGTATGCCTTTTCTAATCTCTCAATTATTTGTTCTTTCTATGTAGTCAAGGCTCATCTGCAAAACTGGCCCCCAGGGAAATCTTTCACTGCCTTGTTGGTCAGTGTTGTAAGTGAAATGCTTTGTTGCTTTCCTCTTCTGTATATTGAGCGATATTGTAGTATATTATAAAACTGTGGCTGCCAGACTGAGCAGCTCTCTGCATTGGCGTCACAGTCACGTCTCTTCCCTCTATAGATAACAATTACACAGGAATGCTTCTTTTAATGTTTTATTTATTGCCCACACAGAGCTCCTAAGGTTCACAGGGGAAGTTTGGGGTTGTCTAAAATGACAATCCCTGCTTAGTTTGAGAGCTGGATTAGGGAGGGTGCTGACCATGGGGCTGCAATCTCTCTGGACCTGTTTTTTTCATTTGTAAAGTGAGGGGTGGATTCAGTGACCACCAAAGCCCAGGAAGAAGTTTGATTTTTTTAGACACGCATAACTACTAACATCTGTTGTCATTTTGTTCTAGATCCATATTCTAAATTTACCCAGCATTTCCAGTATTCTAAGAGTATATTAAGCACTTTTTTTCCCTTTTCAGATAAGTCTCATAAATGCAGCCCAGGGCCGAAGGCATTTTGATGACACAATAGTACCTATGTCTTAGGAAGATTTAAATGTAATGTTAAAAGGACACCAAATTTAAACTGACTCTTTGGAGATAAGATTTGGAATCAGACCTATCCAAAAGGTCACCTGAGATCAGGCTAAGAACTGTGCTTTCTCCACTGGGATGAGCTGGGGGACACTTCCAGATGTGCCTTGGTGTCAGCTAAGAGTGCAGACAGTGCAGGTGCTCAGCTTATGGCTGGCTGTGTGTGTCCTGAGGACTCGGTAACTCTTCTACCAGTAGATGTGCTGCACAGGCTCTCCAGGCCAGGGCAGCAGTGAGTGCAGCTCGACCACCTTATTGTCCACAGCGGGCCCTGCAAACCCTGGCTTTGGTGTTCCACCCAATTCTGTGTGACCTCCGACCCATTACAATGCTGTAGCTGCACCCACGCACTACCTGCCACTGCCACTGCCACTGCCACTGCGTGAATTTGGCCATGAACTGAGGCCATGAACCGAGTGTGAGCCACAGCCTGACTGGAAGCTAACTTACTTCCTCATTTTGTACATTATTAGGGGTTAAGGAGCAGCCAAATGATCTGATTTCTAGTTTTAAGTTATTTGCAGTCAGTAGCTTCCTTCTGGAAAAACCTAAGTTAAGCTAGTAATTTATGCCATGGTAACTGCTGACGTATGGATTTGCTAAAGGTACTTTTGTATCTGCTGTGTATTATAGCAATAAAAGAATCATTTTGTTAGGAAAAAAAGAATCAGCGGGTATTCTCTCATGATTTGCCGACGCTGTACAAACACCCTCTGAATTGTGCGTTGTTATGTAACAGCCCTGTAATTTCTCCCAGCCTCCTCTAGTGCTCTGTGGACAAAGGACAAGGCAGCTTCCTCCCAGAGTACATAGGGAAGAGGAACTCGAAGTACTCAGCCTTCAAAACACTTGTTTCTTAGTAGGCAAAACTGTACGAAATGTCAAATTGACCCGTGGAGCCAAAATCTTCTTGCGGATAGGGACACTGTGATACCAGTGAGTGTTGGTTGGGTGGTTCAGCAGCAGCAAGCTTCCGTGGGCCAGCTGCAGCCTGACCACCTCCACCCTCCGGCCCCGGTTCTTTCCTCGGCAGTCCCTGTGCCGCAAGATGAAGTCCCTGCAAGCACCGAAGGAGACAGAGGCGATAGGGCTCCCTGGGGCCAGTTCTCTTTCATCATCTCGGTGCTCCCCAATGTGGTCACGGCCATCTTTATACCTGCAGTGGGAAAACAGACACAGCACAGAAGAAACGCCTCTCCCTCTGCTCACCAGCACTGCAGGTTCCTTATTTTCTTGCAGTATGAACCAGTGTGCCAGGTCTGGCCATCCATGCCATGTTTCTGCAAGGCTCTGAGGTCCTCACAGGTCCTACAGATGAGCCCAGCCTGAAGCATCTTAACTGGGTAACCTAGTACTGTTTATTCTCGTGCTTGCAAACTTAAACCAAAATCAGCCACAATCATGTCTCCTGATCCCCTGCTTCATACATGTAAACCTGTCATATAAAAAGATTCCTCCTTACAGGTAGACTAAAACCCACATCCTTTGCAGTCTGCCCCTGTCTCCCTCCGAGTGCATCCCTCCCTCCCTCCCTCCCTGCTTTCCAGCATCGCAAGGGGAACCCAGGGATGCTCCAGGCTCCTGCTGTGCTTTACACACATATGCTTGAGCGCTCAGTCAAGTTCCTCGCTCGAATGCCTGGGGAGCCCTTCCCCTCAGCCTAGGCCTCATTGCAGCCAGGTGACTCTGTCCCCAGGAGACACTGGGCAATGTCTAGAGACACTGGTTGTTGTGATGGCAAGGGGAAAGGGTCCTCCTAGCACCTACAGGGTGGAGGCCTGGGATGTGCTCAGCATCTGAAATGCACAGGTCCGCTGCCCACGGCAGAGAACACCCCAGCCCCAGATGTCATGAGCGCTGCTGTGAGATACCCTGCCCTAAGAGCAAATCCTTTCCTCTCAGCCAAATCAGCCTGTTTAACTTTCTCCAAGATGCTCGCCACTGTGAGCAGTAACCTGCCCCTGTCCTATGTCACGAGCTACTGACCTCTCACCTAACCCTGCGCAGGAGCTCACGTGTGCAGCTGCTAAATCGCTTGTGCACCCCAGAAAGATGTGTACAAGTGAGCAAGCATGGTGTAATCCTGAACTCTTCCTTTTGGAGGAGACAGAAGATGTATAAAACTTAGTCCACCAAACAAGGAAAGTGTCACCTGTTCACAAGCACAAAGTTGAAGGTCTGTCCTGTCACCTCAGAGACTCGATCCCGGACACGCTCTAAAACTGGAACCCAGGGCTTTGGGGACAGGGTAAGGCCTGAAACGTGTAGGTCAGCCCAGCGTCGCCATATGTTGCCTGCTTCCTTGGCACACTGTGCCACTTCCCAAATACGTGAACCTTGGCCAGTGCACCTGTGCAGAGGAAATGTGGCAGTTCAGTCCCCACCCCCCAAACCCCCACAGATGAAGACAGGCGAGTGTCCAACACTGGCTCACTAAGTATCCTTCTGTGTCATGTACTGCCCTGCTGGGGGCCCCTCCTCGAACATCACAATGGCTTGCCCAAGTTTCTTGTGTAGGAACAGTGATTCTTACCTGGCCTGTTGGCACACACCTGTAATCCCAGCATTCTGTCTCAAAAACAGAAAACCTCCTCAGTGACTCTTGTCCTTCACTTAGAAAATCATGGTCTGAGGCCAGTCCTTCTTAAACACCATAGCCTCATTGCCTTAACTAAAGCAGGGACCAAATAAAGAGACCTTGACCACAATCAGGTTCCATGGACAGATGGTTCTGCCAACTGTGGGAATGGAGGGTCGGTGGCTTTGTGAAGATGGGGCTCATGCAGTCCAGACGTGTGCTTATCACTGGTAAAGGCATGGCTCTCAACTCACGGTCCCCAAACCATCAGCATCAGCACTACCTGGAAACTTCTTAGGAACTAGATGGCAGGGCCAGGAGAGGTGGTGTGTGCCTGTAATTCCAGCTACATGGGAGGCATAAGTAGGAGTGAGGTCTGAGACTGGCCTGGACAAAATGTGAGTCCCTTGGGCTACAGAATGGCTCAAGTGGTAACAGTGGCTGTCTCACAAGTGCAAGGCCCTGGAGTTCAAACCCCAGTACTCCCCTCCCCCCCACACAAAAAAGTCCCTGAAAAATAAAGAGAAAGCGAAAAAAAAAAAAAGTGGGGGTGCATGGCTCAAGTGGAAGAGAGCCTGCTTAGCTCTCTTTGAGTTCAAACCTCAGTGACACCAAAAACGCAGGGATGGGCCCCAGCAAAGTTCTGCCTAGCAACATGTCGTCTTCTGGGCAGTGCTGAGAGCTACTCAGCACTCAGATAGAGGGATCACTCATTTGCCCACTCACTAGATCTGTGACTCAGCCCTTAGCCTTAGCTACTCATTAGAATTAGAGGGAAGCTTTTTTTTTTCTCCCCTAGTGCTGGGGCTCTAACCCTGGGCCTTGTGTGATCTACACTGAGCTCTGTCCTCAGCCCTAGAAGTTGTTTTTATTTTTTAGACATACTGATATACCCTGGCTGCACGTCCAGTTATTCTGATTTAATTGGTTTCACAAACCCAGCATGGGTCTTTACTTTTTTTAACTTTTTTTTTCCTAAGCTTTCCTGGGTGACTCCGAAAGGACAGCCAGATGGAGATTCACTCTAGTCACCCGTGGTCGCAGCAGACAGGCAATCCTGTTTGTTTTTTACCCCCAAGTTTGCAACCCAAGCCCAGAGAGTAGCTATTGAATTCATCAGTAAACACATCTGTAACCAATGGATCCTGATTTCAGATTTCTCCAAACATGATCGCTAGTGTATCAACACACACAGTCTTCTGCTTACCTGTAAAATACTCCACTTCTTCCTCCAACTCTCGGAGGATCTCATCGGCCTCGGCTTTGCCAAACAGCACGGTGTAATCGCAGTCCAGCCCCTCCGCCGCGATGTGCCGCCAGCTGGGGCCGGTCGGGTCCCCCAGCCTGGGCCTTTTCCTCGGGCTGCCTCGGTCTCCTCCCGGCGGCTCGTGCTCCTGCCCTTTCCCCACAAGGCCCTCCTGTGCACGCTTCTTCAGGAACCTGTCCATCCCGCCTCTCCGCAGTAAAGTGGCGGTCGTGGCTGTGCAGCGACGGAAACCTCTTCGCCCACAGATGCAGAAGGCGAGTGGTGCCACAGCAACGTTCCTATTTGTAAGTTTCCATTTTAAGTTTAAAGTCACGTCCTAGAAAGGAAGCAGAGGCCCCCCCCGCACACCCGGCGCCATCGGAACCATGGCTCGCTCGCAGGACCCGGGCGCCCGCACTGCGCACCCCAGCGCCAGGACTTTAAAAATGGCCAAGCCCCGAGTTCCCCCCTCCCCCGCTCCACAGGCGGGGCTGGAGACCACGTGCTGCCAAGCAAGCTCCCCCCACCCACACGCAGGGCCCAGCGCGCCCAATCCTGGTGGGCGGTAGGAGTTGTGACGGGTACCGGGGCGGGAGTGGGAGCGTTCTGCGCAAGCTCGGCCCCCGCGCAGCTCCCGCGCCGCACACGCCCGCGATGGCCCGGGCTGGCGGGAAAGCTCGCACCGCCCCGCGCCCCGGCCCGCCCCGCCCCGCCCCGCCCCGCCCCCGACCCGCCGCTCTTGAAGCTCCGCCCACCTGTGGGTTTCCGCGGCTGCGCAGTGCCGGGGGGCTGCAAAAGCGGCTGCCGCTGCCTCCGGCGCCACCTGTCGGCCGGTGCGTGCGTCGCAGCATATTGTCGCAGGTGGAAGGGCCTGTATCTGCCATTCCCGTCTCCTAAATTACAGCTGTGTGGGCTTCCACCGTCTGTAATCGCTCTCCTGGCTTTAAGTGCTTCATCTGCAACGTGGTAGGACTGGGTGAAAAGAGCTGTGAGAACCCTCTGTGCTCCAAATCGATGTTAGGCTCTCTTGCTTCTGGTTTTTGGTGTCTCTCGCAGTAGAATGGAACTCCACGAGGTTGGGGTCTTCGTTTTGAAGCTTCTTACTGTACAGATCTGAATTTTTTTTGGTGGTAATGGGGTTTGAACTCAGGGCCTGATATTTGCAAGGCAGGTAACTCTACCACTTGAGCCACTCCACCGGCATCCAGTTCTGAAAATTAGTGCAGTTCCACCATCCCATAAAATCCCTGCCTCTTAGTTATCAACCCACACCCCCCACCCAGCCTCCAGTGGCCCCTGATCTGTCCTGGGACCCTGTAGTTTGCTTCTTCCAGAATTTCATATGAATGGAATTATACAATATATAGCTTCTGTGTCTGACTTCTTTCACATCAGGGAAAATACTTCAAGACGTGGGCAGAGGCAATGACTTCCTGAATAGAACTCCAATAGCTCAGGAAATAAGAGCAAGAATTGACAAATGGGACTGCACCAAACTAAAAAGTTCTGCACAGCAAAGTGAAGAGACAGCTTACAGGATGGGAAAAAAAAATCTTTGCTAGCTATTGAGCTGACAGAGGATTAATAATCAGACTGTATAAAGAACTCAAAAAAAAAAAACACTGAAAGAATAATCCAATCAGCAAAGTGTCAAATGAATCGAACAGTTCTCAAAAGAAGTACAAATAGTGAATAAATACATGAAGAAAGGTTCAACTTCCTTAGCTATAAACAAAATGCAAATCAACCCGCCATTGAGATTCCTCTCACCCCAGTCAGAATGGCTAACGTCAAGAACACAGCAAATGGATGGGGAGAACACTTACACACTTGTCACCATAGCCAAGTCATGGAATCAGTCCATCAGCATATGAATGAATAAAGAAAATGTGAAATATATACATAATGGAGCATTACCTAGCCATGAAGAAGAACGGAATTATGTCATTTGTAGGAAAATGGATGGAACTGGAGAACATACTGTTTGGCAAAATAAGCCAGACTCTAAGTGTGGCTCGTATGCAGAATTTAAATTAAAAAACAAAAAAAGAGCTGGGTGCTGGTAGCTCACATCTGTAATCCCAACTACTCAAAGGCAGAGATCAGGAGGAGCAAGGTTTGAACCAGCCTGGCAAACAGTAAATAAGACTCTATCTCAAAAATAACCAACACAAAAAAGGGCTGGCTGAGTGGCTCAAGTGGAAGAGAACCTGCCTAGCAAGAGTGAGGCCCTGAGTTCAAACCCCAGTACCACCAAAAAAAAGGAGAGCCACAGTAGAGAAAGGATTTATTTTGGGGGGTGTCACTGGGAGGAGCAAAGGAGTGTGATGGGAGGTAAATATGATCAAAGGACACAGTATGCATGTATGAAAGCATCCTCATAAAATCCATTACTTTATGCAATTAATTTAGAAATTAAAAGCTACATGTAGTGACACATAACTGTAATCCCAATTTACTCAGGAGGTGAATATTGGGAGGATAGCTGTTTAAGGCCAGTGGCGGCATAAAATCAGCAAGAACCCCGCAACTCAACAAATAAACTGGGCATTGTGGCACAGGCCAGTAATCCCAGCTACACAGGAGAATCACAGTCCAAGGCAGGTCCTGGGCAAAAATGCTGGACCCCATCTGAAAAATAAAGCAAAAAAGGGCCGGGGGTGTCGCTCAAGAGGTAGAGCACCTGCCTAGCAAGTAGGTTCTGAGTTCAAACCCTAGTACTGCCAAAAAGAAAGTTTAAAAATACATATCCATGCTTTCAATTCCTAGCACCGAATACAAACGTATCATTCAGATATATAATATACAACCCTATGTAAGCAGTCTGCTCCTTTTATTCCACTGGGAACACCGTGAAACGCGACACAGAGAGCACCGTGCAGCAGTTGGGTAGTGAGGCTGTTTCCGGTTTTAGGTGAATGTGAATGAAATCACTATAAACATTCATGGGCAAGCTTTTGTGTGAATGCAGAGAAGAATCCCAGGTGTTTTGGGGTTTAACCTCCATGGCCTTAAAGTCTTCCCCAAGCCTTACAGATTAGGCAAAATGTGTCTCCGCTCTAAGTCTTTACTAAAACAGGTTGTGATCAGCAAGCACCTTCAGGAGGCTCGCTTCACTCCACCAAACCTCTGAGCGGGAAGATTATTTTTTATGGCGGAGGGGCGGGGTCATGCGCCCGAGGCGAAGAATGGATCTACTCCGGGGACTCAGGTTCGCACCCTGGGGCTCAGCCTCACCGTCCTGCGCATGCGCACAGAGCAGTCCACCGCCCCCTGCCCCCTGCCAAGCCCCCTCGGCCGCGCTCCGAGCATGCGCGGGCCGCTTGGCGCCAACTGCGGGCGGCTGGAGACTACGTAAGTCTCGCTGGACTCCGGGCGGCGTGTGTCCGCTCTCTCCTCGACTCCGGAATGATCGGCCAGAAGACCCTCTACTCCTTCTTCTCCCCGAGCCCCGCAAGGAAGCGACGCGCTTGCAGCCCCGAGCCAGCCGACCCGGGGACCGGCGTGGCGGCCGTAGCTGAGGAGAGCGGCGATGTGGCGGTGAGGCGAGACAGGGACCGCTTCGGGGGCTGGGGACAAGGGACGGAGAGTGGGGAGAAAGGCGGGGCCCTCCTGTGCCCGAGAGGGTGCGGGAAGGCGCCGCTGACTCGGTAAACTGGAGCCTAGCTCAAAACAGCTTTCACGTGTTCAAAACAGCCGCCGCCGTCCCTCATCGGTAGCCATGCTGGAGGCTCAGCCAATGGGGACGAGCCTTAGCGACCGCGGCGCCAATCGGCGTGCCCGCTTGGCCCGCCCTGCTCTGCCTACTCTCCAATCACAGGAGGAAGGGGGCGGGACCTCGGGGAGGGTTTTGCCGCGAAAAGACCACGTGGAAACGCGAGTGGCGGCCGGTCCTGCAGGGCGGGGCGCCTGGATGCGGGTACCCCAGTACGGTGCAATCCTTCAGGGGACGCCGCGCATCTGCCTCTCGGCTCCTCTCCATTTTAGTACCAAATCTTACGGAGTGGGCGCAACCCTGGGTATCCAGAGTTTGGTTTTGCTCGCACCTATGGGCGCCTTTCGCCCTTGGCCCTTATGTTTGGCCCGGAAGTTGCGAGCGCCCGGGAAAGGGCCGATCCGGTTTGTGACCCGCCGCTGCGGGGACCCCTTGCAGGCCAGCCCCGCCAAGAAGTCATGTGCGGGACAGGACGAGCCCGGCACGCCGCCCTCTTCTCCTCTGAGCCCGGAGCAGCTGGTCCGCATCCAGAGGAACAAGGCCGCGGCCCTGCTCCGACTCGCGGCCCGCAATGTGCCCGTGGGCTTCGGGGAGAGCTGGAAGAAGCAGCTCAGCGGGGAGTTCGGGAAGCCGTATTTCATCAAGGTAAACAAGGAAGTGTCCCTTGCAGAGGGCTCAACCAGGAGGTAGCTGGCCTTTTGTATTGGTAGCATCGGAACCAAGTCTAAGTCCAGAGGTATTTTATGTTCACATAGTTTCCTGTCTGGAACGTCCTTTCCACGCCAAAGGCGTAAAATAATGCCATGGTGTCTTAAATCTGCATATTTACGTGGGTTGAAATTGTTAGACTAGAAGATGATACAGCATGGCTTTTTTGAAGCCACTTCGTTTGTTGTTTAGGAACGGTTGGTTTCGTAATGCCCTCAACCAGACCAAAACTGGGCTTGGCCGTTTTAAAGGGGCTCATTGGGACTTTTAAAGCAGCCAGGCAAATCAACCCTAATGCAGCCCAGAGCCAGGGCATAGACACGATGGAGCAACTTAAGTGGGAATACTTAACTTTTTTAAAAAAGAGTTTGGATTTAAAACATGACAAAGAGCTAGATGAGGCTTCCAAAGCTTGGGCAAAAAGCTTTCTTACTACTTTCTTATGGTTTCCAGTGAGAATGTGATTTTAAGTCTAGTTTATCTTTTAAATCAGCTAATGGGATTTGTTGCAGAAGAAAGAAAACATTACACTGTTTATCCACCCCCGCACCAAGTCTTCACATGGACCCAAATGTGTGACATAAGAGATGTAAGTACACTTGTTGATGAGTTTTAATTAGGGGAGGGAATCAGATAGTATTTTTTTTTTCCCACTGTGCAGCCCACTTAAGTGTTAGCAGCCTCCAGACAGAGGCATCAATAGTGCTGGTGGTTCACACCTGTAATCCTAGCAACTTGGGAGGCTGAGATTGGGAGGATGGAAGTTCGAAGCCTGACTGGGCAAATAGTTTGCCTGTCTCCAAAATAACTAGAGCAAAATGAACTGGAGGTGTGGCTCAAGCTGCAGAGTGCCTGCTTTGCAAGCACAAAGCCTTGAGCCCCCAGACCCACCAAAGATAAATAAATAACACTGAAGTGGTGAGTTCAGGATGGCTATATTTCAGCCTAGATTTATTCTTTTAAACTTTTACTGTCTGCTGTGTTTGTAACAAAAAGGAAAAATACGTACGGACACCTTGTATCTGTGCTGATAAAAAAGTTATTCCTTCATTATATTGCACTGCAGGTTTATTTCAATAGTCATTGGGCAACTTTTTTTTTAAAATATTGTTAATCATAGATAATGGAACTAGGGAAGTGATCTATATTCAGAAATGCACATATGATGCATGTTCTGGACAGAAAAGGCAAAAAGACAAGGACAGTTATATCTTAGAAGAAGCCAGGGTAGACTGGCGATGTGACTCAGTCCCTGGGTACTTACCTAGCACGCACAAGGTCCTGAGTTTGCATACACAAAGCAAAGTTGTGCAGTTGAGTCAACATTCAGTAGGAGCCACTTGGACAATTGAAATCTGTTGGTAAGTGCCCACACTGTTTCATCTTCCTTCCCATCAAGTCTCATCAGAATTGACATTGCTAACTTAAACAGACCAGAAGATAATGCATTAGGTTGGAAATCAGCCTCTGCAAAAGTACAAACTGGCTGCATATTCTTTCACATGTTTCATCTTGATTCTCTAAAGACTTCTTGAATCCTACCCAGGTGCAATCTTTGTGGCTGGGGGAGTATGGTCCCTGGCAGTCACAACTGTAAAAAAGCCATAGCAGTAGGAAAAAGCCTTTGGTGGGCTCCTTTGAAGAAGCTCTTCACTATAAGAGACTGCCTTTACCTGCCAATATATATTGTCTTCACATTTTGCAAATAGACCCCCATTTTCTTCTCAAGTGTTGTGCAAAGTAAGTTATATGGTCATCTAGCTCCAGATTTTTCTTTTCTTTTTGTTCCTAAATGGACTTTTATTTTTAATGGACATGTGGCGATTGTACATATTCCAAGGTGCAAATGACATTGCAATACATGTATACAATGTGTAATGCTCAGATCAAGGAAATTGGCACCTGTCACCTTGGACATGTGTCATCACTTTTTGTTGAGGACTTTCAGTCCTCTACTGTTTTGCAATACTAAGAAGATTGTTGTCACCCTGCTGTGTTATAGAACATTAAAAGTTGCCTTTGCGTCATAACCACCCGGCTAACAGTCCTCTCCAGACACACTCCTCCACAGCCTTCCCAGGCTCTGAGAACCACTATTCTCTACTTTTTAGGTATGCTCCCATTTCCTGCATTTAATTCTGAGCCTGTGCTAATATTAGGCATCATTATGGTGTTAATAGGAAACTGAGGCATGAAGCAGTTAAATCTTTTTGTGCTAGTTTTAGTTGATTCTTTAGGTGGCATTTTCAAGTGCTTGATTTCTGGCCTACCTTTGTCAGCTCATCCTACCTGTCAGCTGCTGATTGGCAGCTCTGGTCACTTCAGACTCCTGTGTGGAAGCTTGTTTGTGTCTTCAGCTGTGTGAACTGTGAAAGCTGAGCTTTCAAGACTCCAGCACATCCTACCTCCCAGCCTGGCCTCCACCTCTCTGCGTTCCACCCAGAGTTGGACAGTGCTGGGGCACTCCTCATTCCTGCCTTTTGGAATCACCTGGATCCATCCATAGCACTTCTGCCACCTTTGTGACCTAGTCTTCCACCCACCCCTTGCCATACATTTAGTAACTGCTTACACTGAGGTTTTGAGGTTTCATCCCTCGTAAGTGGCAGCAAGAATCTTAGGATTTAGTAAATAACTGTTAAATCAAGTAGAAGTGAAACAGGTGCATGAACTGTCTTGATACAGCAGCTGTGCATGACACTTAGAAAACTCCACAATTTTATTTTAGAAGCAAGGGTTTATTGATTCTTGTTTTTGAAGCTTAAAAAACTTACACTGTATTAAACTCAGTACACATTTGCTTTGCTTAAATATTAGGCCTTTTTCTGAATACCAGAGATCAAGATAAACAAGGACTCTAAAAGGAATATCAGACCTATTCCTCTGAAGACTCAGTGGGCCAGCAGGATGGCTTTGGACCAGGGAGAGCCAGGATTGCCCTTCATTAGGGACCAGAGCCCCAGAGCTGGACAGCTTCTACCGAGCCCAGCTGCTGCATCACGGAGAATATGCTGACAACGAAGTACCAAGGGCTTCCTGGTAGTGGGAACATCTGCAGCTAGATTTGAGGGATGCGAAGGTGGCATCTGTGGAGGAAGGTTTGAGAAAACACCAGGGCTGAAGCAGGGGAGTGAAGACAAGGCAGGCATGGCATCCAAAGGTCAAGCAGGTCTGTGTTTCAACACTTCCTGAGACAGGCACTGTTGCTCATTGCTTCTTGCCACCTATTCCCCATGGCCCTATGACCTGACCTCATTCTCCTGATTTCATCCATTCTAGGCAAGAGGGCAACCAGCACCTTGTCTGCTGCTGGTGGGGAAGTGAAATTGAAATAGCTTTGGCTGATGGAAAAAGCCAGTGGACGTGGATCTATGAAGGTTTAAAATAAGTTTCTTTGACTGACAACTCTCCTGTCATGAATCTGCCACAGAAGTAAAGCACCAGTGTGTAAGGGTAGCTGGATGAGGAGGTCATGGCAATGGTGTCCTGAAATGGGAAACAAGTCCACTGCCCATAAGTAGGACTGAGCACTGTATTGATTCAAAGAACACTGCAGTATGGTGGAGGATGCCCAGAGTATAGGATATTAAGTGCAGCAACCCTTGTTACATAGGAACTAAAAAGTGGTTAACTGTGGGGCAGAGGTGCAGCTCAGTGGTAGAGCATTTGCCTGGCATGTTTGGTCCTCAGCACTGCAAAAACCCCAAGCAACAAAAGGCCGACTCAGGATGGGATAGAATTAATCAGGAGTGGGCATTGTACTGGTTTTAAGTATGTACTTATTTCTATAATTTGGAACGTGAAGAGGTTAAACACAAAGCTGACTCCAACCTGTCTCAAACTCTGTGGCAGAGGAGTGAGGTAGCACGGCAGGGCAGTTGAATGATTAGGTAATGGGAAAGAGCAGTGCTGAGTTGATGGCTCCCCAGTTCTCAGGTGAGCTGGGCATGAAGCTTCCGGTCTCACTGTCGTTCCTTTGCGTAGCTGTCAGGCAGCCAGTTGTTCATTTAGACTGACTCCCTGCCTTACATTTGCAGGTGAAGGTTGTCGTCTTGGGACAGGATCCTTATCATGGACCCAGTCAAGCTCACGGACTCTGCTTTAGTGTCCAAAGACCTGTTCCACCTCCGCCCAGGTACAATTGCTTTGCAGGTGATTCCTGGCCAGTGGCAGTCACTTACAGATGTGTACTTCACAAATTACAGGTGCTGTGCTTGGGGGACTTTCCCTAGTCTCTGGAGCAGGGTTCCTTAGCCTGGCAGTGTTGACAGTGGGCTGGGCCAATTCTTCCCTGTGGGGAGTTGGTGCTGTCCTGTGCGCTGTAGGAAGTCTGGGAGGTACAACAAACCCTGGTTAAGAACCACTTGTCTGGAGGGTTTCATGTGTCATATATAGAGCTATAACAAGGCATCCATGGGGAGGTGAGTTGTAAATGCTGAGCCCCTTGGGTCTTGCAGAGCGCTCTTCTGTTCCTAGAATCCAAACACAGACCACAGGGGTCTGGTGGGTTTATCTGTCAGGAGGACGGTGGTGTTGATCTCACTAACCAGTGCTACAGTTCATCTTGTCTCTTCTAGGGGCTGCCTTGAAACCTCTGCCCTTTTCCCACAGGTTGTACAGAATTACGCTGAAGGTTCTTACTTGTTTTCTCTGGCTTGTTTTCAGTTTGGAAAACATTTACAAAGAGCTTTCTACAGATGTAGATGGTTTTGCCCATCCTGGCCATGGAGATTTATCTGGGTGGGCCAAGCAAGGTGAGCCAAGCCCTGCTGAATGTATTCTGTTTCATTTTTATACTCAACCCACCTTTAATGTGCTGAAAACAAATCACTCCACAAAAAGCATTAACAGTTCTTACAACGTAACTTTGGACACAGTGCACAAATTTAAAAAACAAAACAAAACAATTCAGCCACACCATCCTGTGATCTGATCTCGCAAAGCAAACTTTAGGATCTTGGAGCAATTTATTAAGATTTTAAATATTCATAAAATGTGCCTAGTCATGCTTCCTCAGGTTTCCTGTCAGTCCCCACATTTCCCAACTTCAAGTGATGCATGAGCCCAGTTGGAGCCTTGCTCCTTATGGGCGTGCTGTAAAACCAGCAGTGAGTATTGGACAGAAGCTTTCATTTCCAGGACACACGTGGATAAGCAACAAGTCAAATTTTAACACTATTTGAAAGAGGAAAGGAAGGAAAGAAAAATGTATTAACGTATCGTTGAACAAGTACAAATTTGTAGAATAAGGCACAAGTTGGGTGCAGCAGCGATGACCTTTAACGGTATTTGGTATCATTGAGCTGCATCTTGCCAGACATCTTGCAGGGCAAAATTTCTTAGGTAGAGTAGAACCTAAATCTGTCCCACATAGTTAAAAAAATGGCCACATTTTAAGCTCATTAACTCATTATAGAGGCAAGGAAACAGGGTCGCACAAGTTAAGTGACATTAATTATGGAAAACAACAATCAATGCTTTAATTTTGTAAACCCCAGGCTGAAGTGCTTTCCACTCTACCACTTTTTTACTCCAGGACTTTATTTTCCTTATGGAAAAAAGACCATGTTGTCACATAGTCCCTTGTTCTAACCAAAAAGTTAGGTCTATAAATGCAGACTAGTTGCTGCTTTGTCTTCTGTGAGGCTAGAAGATGCTCAGTCAGGGTTTCACTATAAGGTCCTTCACACTCTTGAAGTGGAGTGTTAAGTCAACCACAGGCCAATTCTTGAATGATTCTTCTGCTGGCATTTCTTCGCAAAGCTTCTGGCAGCTCTTCCTTGGACAGGTGCAGGCCCCTGCCCTCCATATTCCTTTAGCCTGTGGAGCCCAAGCTTGGTAACTCTCTACTCTCACAGGGGAATATGAGCAACTGCTGCTTTGTGAAAGTGACATGATGTTCAAAAGTTTTGAAAAGCAGCATGGGAATATCAAACCTACTTAAATTACTCAGGTTAAAATATTCAGGTTCAGAGTAACACGGAGAGACAGGAGAGGAAAAACATGCAATAACGGTTTAATTCACCTGCACGAGTCAATCATTTGGTAAGTGGGTGGAACTAGGAAAGAGGAAGAAAGCTGAAGACTGAGGGGAGGAAAACAACAATCAGAGAGCAAGGGTCCACCCAGAGTTGAGATGAACTGAAATGCCTCAATTTGAACTCTTGCAAAATAATTTACACAGTAGTCTGCCAAGTGTCATGCTTAATATGCCATGCTGCCTCTGGTACCCTTATGGGGAAGTAGTGAAGTGCCCAACATTTCAGTGCTTTTCAGTGGTAATTTGAAGCTCTGTGGCTCTAGCTCTTAGATAGTAGCACTCTGCTTCTTTTCAACTTTTTCCACTTTTCCCCGATTTTGGTCGTTCTTTCTCCTCATTTTCATTCGGCATGGCTGGTGTGGGCCGCCACCACCTGCCCCCGTGGCAGCAGTGCCTCCACCCCAGCCGGCAAACCACCCGGCTACCTGGGGACTGAATCACTCGCTTCCCCTTTCCCAGGCTCCCAGAGGCTGCGGCAGTGGCCTGCTAAGTGGATTTTGGACGAATGTTGACAGTATCATCTGTGCTGCTCGTTTATGTAGCTTAAAGATTGCCATAAAGTACTAGAGAGCTATAATAAAATGGCCAAATACATTTAATAACAATGTCTTTATTCTGAAGATTTGTTCCTCAGAAGGTTGCCCATGCAGTTTTGACGTGGGTTGTATGTATGTGGAATATTTTTTTGTTTTTTGTTTTTTGTTTTTTTGAGACAGGGTCTTGCTGTGTAGCCCAGGCTGGCCTTGATCTTTTCTCTTTTGAACAAACTGTCTATAGCCAGGATAAGAAAAGAATGCTTTTTCTTGCTTTCTGGTAGTAGTTTTGTTTCAGTGAATTATTTGGGCCCATTTTTTATGTTCTGGAGTTAATACAACGGATTATATCTCAGATAATTCTGTTGACATATATCCAGTGTTTACTGCTGCAAACTGGAAAATGTTGAAAGGGAAGTGATGAAAATAAAATGCCTCTAAGCTCACCCAGAGCGCACATAGGAACAGTGTCATCATGGCCTAAATTCATTTGGCTGCCCTGTATCCTGTCCAGTGGATGGTTTTGTGGAGAGTGGATTATGAGAAGCCTATGAGAACTGGATGTAAGCAAGGCGAGATCCAGCTCATTTGCTTTTCCTAAGATGTTTATCTGTAGGCTGAGATTGGCACAGCTCCGGCCCAGAAGAGGAAAATGCAGAACAGCTACTTTTCCTAAGTTGTTTACAGTTCAGAAAGATAGATTGCAAATTTCTATTGTTACAATGTCATGCCCCTCCCTGAGAACTGTTGTTCCACCTCCTTGTTTACCACTGGGTATAAAAGACCTGAAGGAGTATGTGAGGTTTTTTGATGGGGGGCTTTTGGCTTTTGGATGTGGGAGGCTTTTGGAAGGGAAATTGCTGAAGGGAAAAGGATTGCTGAAGTGGAATTGCTAAAGAGGGATTGATAGAAAGTCTTCACCGAGAACTTTATACATAGGTTTTAGAAAAGCTAATCTAAAGAAAAGCTACAGAGAACACAGGATAATGCAAGTGTGGGGGCAAAGACTTTAAGAGAGAACATGCTAAAGAAAAGCTAACAGAAAACATGGGTCAGGAAAGAGGTTTTAAAGAAGATTTTAGAAGCAAGGTTTTAAAAGAATCGTAAAGGAGTTAGGCCTTAAAGAATATAGATAGAGAAAAGAAGCAATGAGGCAGTTGTGTGTCTCCACCTGAGCACCCAGCACACCTGATCCCACTTTCTGTCTGTCTGTCTGTCCAGTGTCTTTTCTGCATCTCCAGTTGCCCCTCTTAGGCCCAATTAGGTTCAGTAGTAACAAGGGAGCGAGAGGAAAACGCTCGCTCCATGGTTTCATCTTGTGTTTGGCCCCTGCTGTCTCAGGTGTCCTCCTCCTCAACGCCGTCCTTACTGTCCGCGCCCATCAAGCCAATTCTCACAAGGAGAGAGGCTGGGAGCAGTTCACCGACGCAGTTGTGTCCTGGCTGAATCAGAACTTGAACGGCCTTGTCTTCTTGCTCTGGGGCTCCTATGCTCAGAAGAAGGGCAGTGCCATCGATAGGGTATGCTTGCTTGTTTTATTTTCTTTTCTTTTAAAAAATATTTTAAGCAGTTTAGAGAATTCTAGAAATCCTTGCTGCACAGTCCTGGAAAATACGCATCATAAGATGAACAGAATGAATGTTACAGTTAAAGTGCAGTTTCCCATTGAAAACTGAGCAGAATTCAGAGAAATTATAGGAGCTATTAGTTGTATGAGAGGACGGAATTGGCCAGCTTAGGACTTACTGCTGTCAGAACAGAGGCACGGAGGACTTGGAGGTCCCTGGGACCACTCTTAGCATGTGGTGTGGTGCTGATGAATGAGGCAACTGTCCTGCTAAGAAGTTTGGGAACATACATAAAACATGAGGATTTTCACTGAAGCACAAATGTGGCTTCCCCGTGAAAATGCCATCAGTGACCGTCAATAAAGCTGGGCTCTAATTGTGATGTTTGTCTTCCAGAGACTGGCCCTTTCATTGCCACGCTCCCTGCCCCTCCCCACAGCTTGCTACTAACTCATTCTCCTCTTTACTTACTGATGCACCTGTGTACCTGGTTGCTGAGATAAGAACCTGGACGTTATCCTTGAATCCCCATTCCCTCTTCCCCTTATATCCCATCTATCAGTGAATCAAATCACTTCTGCCCTTGAAAATTTCCCAGTCCTGCTTCTTACATGGCCCCTGCCCCTTGTCTACCTGCCAGCATTTCTCTGCTAGGAGACAGGAGATGATGGTGGGCGGCTGGAGGGAGAGGAATGGAGGTAGAAGGGAGGGAGGAGACAAGTGTTTAGTTTGGGGAGGTGCTGAGGTGGGATTGTGGGTTGGAGGAACTGTACAACAGTGCTTCCATAAGTTAGGGAAGGCCTTACCCAGGTGACTGAGAGCTTCTGTATTGCACAGTGACGCTGGCGTCAGGTTGTGAGTTTGTCGTGTGAATCTCACTGAATGCTTTCACAAAGGTGTCTGAGAGTGGGAACATGCTTGTCCCCATTTGGTATTGGGTCTCAAGAGACAGTCTCTTGCCCAAAGGGGGCAGTGATGATGGAGCAGTATCTCCCAGGACACTGCAGATCATCCCAGATGTGGGATTCTAAGCCAGTCAGAGAGCTCGGGTCTGCAGATTTTCCTCATGTCAGTTTCTCTCTTTTTTTTTTTTTTTGAGGTAGGTTGTTGCTGTGTGGGCCAGGCTAGGTGGAACTCTGTCTTCCTCACCTCAACCTCCTGAGGCTGGGATTACAGACATGAATCACCACACCTGACTCTTCATGTTCTCTTGAGTGAAGTTTTGTTCTTTATTTTCAAATTTAATTTCTATGATTAAAAACAAAAAGTGTATTAAGGTATGCAGTGAAGTCTCCCCCCACCTTGTTTCCCATCTGGCTTGGGTGAGTGAGTGCTGGTTTTCAGATTCTAATATATCTTTCTAAAGTCTGTCCACGCAAAGAACAGTCGAGTGTGTAAATCCAATTGAAAAGCGTCTTTGCCTACAAAGGTTTTACGTGAATGCACACAGCATTTCAGGGTTTTTTTTTTTTTAAAGGAATTACAGAGAGAAAAAAAATCTTGTATGAATAACCTTAGCTGTCTTATGAACAGCTGAAATGTGGTTAAGTAGGTATGAAGTGCGCTCTCATCTCTGTGCCTCAGGGAGGTTATGGCCAGCATACAATATTGGTAATCTTCACTATTAGTGAACAGGGCATGGTCTCAAGTGGCTTGATCATTACAACCAAGTTGCTATCTCCAGCCCTGTGTCTCCTGAACACTGTACTGTGTGCTTCCTTACTAGGGTCTCATAGGCACATCAAATTCAACATTTTCCATGCTAAATCCTCCTCCCCACTAAAGCTGCTCTTCTCTGCCCCCCAGAGGGGAAAAGCACCACCATTGCCTGGTTGACCAACCAGTCCCCCTGTCTCTCCTTCCCTCTCTGCCTGTACCTCTCCCCTTCATGTCTGCATGCTTCCTTCCCTCCCTCTCTCCTGTCTCTCACTTCCATCCCATCTTCACCCCCATTGCTTTGGATCTGCTTCTGCTCAGACTGCTCCAGTGCCAGCTCATGAATTGGTTTGGGGGTGGTCTCCATTGGGCCTCTTAGCCCTCATTCTGTTTTCCTTAGAGCTCCAGGCTGACAAACCCCTGGCCCGCCCCCTTCCTGCCCATCTTTGCCCAGCCCAGAGGAGGCTCTCCTTCCCAAGAGACAGGCTGGCTTGCCCTTTACACCTGCTTTGTTTTTGCCAGTGTTACATGCTTGACCTGCCTTCTGATACTACTCTACTCATGATCAGTTATTTCATCCACACAGGAACATCATCAGGCAGGCGCTGTTCAGCCCCATTTACAGATGAGCACTAAAGTGCACCTTGGGGAGTTCCAGCAACTGACCCACAGCTGCTGAGTGGGAGAGCTGGAACTGGACCCAGGCAGTCTGTCTGCAGGCTTAGTGCTCTTCCCATGCTGGGCTGGCCCTGGCCCTGGCCCCTGGGCAGCTTCCTTTTAGTTATCATGCCTTCCTTGAAGGCAGGAATGTTCCGAAAAGCAGTGATTTGTTAGGTGGTTTTTAAATGCAGAAAAAAACAGAGAGGGAAACAAAAATGTAGCCTGTAGTCTTCCTGCCACATAACTATAGTTGACATTTTAAAAATCAAAATATTGCTGGACACTGGTGTCTCACACCCATAATCCTAGTTACTCAGGAGGTAGGGATCAGGAGGATCCCTGTTCGAAGCCAGCTGGAGCGTGTTCTCAAGACCCCCATGTCCAAAATAACCAGAGCAAAATGGACTGGAGCTATGGCTCAAGTGGCAGAGCGCCTGCTTTGCAAGTGTGAAATCCTGAGTTCAAATCCTAGTACCATCCCCACAAAAAGGATTTTTTTTAGTGGGGTGTGGTGGTGCATGCCTGTAATCCTAACACGTGGAGGCTGAGGCAGGAGGATTTTGAGTTCAGGCCAGCCTTGGCTACTAGTGAGACCATGTCTGAAAAATCAAACATTTTTTGCAAATGTCTCCCCATATTATTAGTATGTATAACTTGACCGTGTTCTCACAGCTGTGTTCCATTGTAAGAACTTTAGAAAACTATTTTTAGTCCCTGAACACTGGACTTAGGAGACTTTAGTCTCAGATGTAAGCAAGGCTACAGTTACCTTGTTGCACACACACTTTTGTGCATCATAGCATCCGTGAGCACGCACAGTAAATCTAAGTGCAGTCATAGCAGGAGAATTACTACATGGTAAGATACGGGCACTTAAAAATTGCAGATACTGCCAAACTGAAGGCTGAGATTGGCTGCCCACGTCCTCAGTCTAGCAAAGGTTGGCGCTCAGTAAACTGATGAGCAGGTGAAATACACTAGCAGGAAATACACTTTGAAGGTCAAGAATTTAGACAGGGCCGTGAGGGACTGTGCAGCCATCTGAAACTGCAATACCTATAGTTCTTTCTAAAAGTCCCCAGCCTGCCACCTTTCCCTCTTGTTCTTTTTCAGAAGCGGCATCATGTCCTGCAGACTGCCCACCCCTCCCCGTTGTCCGTGTACAGGGGGTTCTTTGGATGTAGACATTTTTCCAAGGCCAACGAACTGCTGCAGAAGTCTGGCAAGAAGCCTATCAACTGGAAGGAGCTGTGACTGGAGGACAGGAGCTGTCTTGAGGAGCTGCTATTGAGCTATTTTAGTTATGAGGTCATTTAAATTTTCCCTGTCAGTACTGTGTATAAGGAGAGAAGCTTTCAGAAAGCAGCCAGGAACCAGGCAGCTGGGGGGAAAACAGCTTTGTCCAGCCAGAAACAACGGGTCCTCTTGACCACTCTGTTTGAGCAACTCCCTCCCAGGCACAGGCAGCTTGGTCTAAAAGCCACATGCTTCTTACAAGAGATATGAGATCAAATACTCGGTTCTCTCCACTTCCTTTCTTTTGTGGTTAAAGGGGGAGAATCGCACCTTTTTTTTGGCCCAGCAAAAAGTTTGGCACCTGCTGCTACTCATTTTTACCTGACAGGTTAGATTTTCTAGGTCCTAGGGCATGGGGTGTTGTTTAGAAAGGTCCCCTCCAACTGTCAAGGCAGACTTGGGCTTAAGCATTCCTGATTGTGGTAGCAGGAACTGTGGAAGGCTTCATACAGGCAGGCAGAAGAAGCAACTGTCTTTGTCTTGTCTTTTCCTGTGTGCCTCCTGGAATAAGTGGTGGAAGTTGACTGAAGAGGAGGAAAGAGGGTTTTTTATTGTGTTGAGGGGTGGGTATTTTCCTAGGGCTGTACAGAGTTGGAATTTTTAAGCAGCACAAACTGCTAAATCCTGTTTTGTTTTGTTGTTTGTTTGGTTTTTTTTTTTTTTTTGATGTTTTTGTGGTGCTGGATATCCAACACAGGGCTAGGTAAGCACTCTACTACTTAGCTACATCCAGCCCAAATGCTGTTTTTGTTGTATTTTTGTGGTACTAGGGCTTGAACTTGAGAACTCACGCAATAAGGTCTCATGAACTATTTGCCGGGGGTTGGCTTTGAACCTAGATCTTCTACCCTCCTGATCTCTGCCTCCTGAGTAGGTAGGATTACAGGTGTGAGCCACCGGTGCCTAACCAAATGCTATTTTTTATAAACTGAAATCACTTAGGGATTTTTTTTGTTTTCCACAACACTGGAGAATTCTAACTTTTTTAATAAAATACTTACCACAGATGCATTTATTTTTTCAGTTCTTTCTTAAAAGACAATCTATTGGGTTCTGTACCTCCATCCTGGATCTTGATAGAGATGCCATTGTTACTGTTAGGTTAAAGGGTGAACCCTGTGCCAATTTTGCAATAAAAGATTGTTGGAGTTTCCCATCGTTCTGACTGTTCTTGGCATCTGGGAAGCTCTTGCCTGCCCTGTATTGGGTCAGTGTCACCATGGCAACCATTGTCCCAGAAGGACCACCCCCTGTCCTTGTCCCCCCACTGTCTTGTCCTTTACCCTGGCTTCTTAGCATGGAGCTGCCCAGGCCTTGGTAAGCCTCTTCCCCTTCCCCAGCCCACTGCTGGCCCAGAGTGCCCTAACCCAAATGCTGTGGGCAGGCTACAGATTGGGGTCTGGCCACCAAGGAGCAGCTTCTGGCCTGGAAAAATGGAAAACTTGGCATGCCATTGTGACAGTGTTTCCAAACTTCCTGGGAATGTGGGGTTCAGGTGTGACTCCCTGGTAGCCTGATGGCCTACTAGCACTTGGCCTTCTAGCTGGTGGACTCTAAGGATGAGCAGGGAACTCCCTGTGTCTGATAAGGAAGAAAGCAAAAAGAATAATGGGGAGAGGTGCAGTTTGCTTAGTGGAACAGCACAGGCATGACACTCGATTGTGTACTGTAAGTGGGCAAGAGAGGATGCATCCCATGAAAGCATGGAGATTAGCAAATGCATTTCCTAAGAAGACAAGAACATGGGAACTTAATCTTGGCTAGGTAACTGCTTCCTTTCTGGGCCCCACTGTCCTTGTCTATGAAAGAAGGACTCAGGAATTCATCTTTGGGATCCAACAGGCTGAGGGTGGAAGATGCCTTCTCCATTGGCCTTCTGGTCACTCCCAGGTCTTCCCAGAAGCATTATAATGAACTCCGTTGTCCAAAGAAGTAAAGAAGTGAACGAGAACAGTTCTACACCAGTTAGGCTCTGCTGCCTTTCTCCCTGTGCAGTGCTGGAGTTTGGAGAAGCAGCTACTACAATTAAGGAAGCAAACAATTAACTGGGTGCTGGTAACTCAGCTCTGTAATCCTAGCTACTTGGGAGACTAGATTGGGAGCATTGAGGTTTGAGGCCAACCCAAGCAAATAGTTCGCAAGACTGGAGCGAGCTTTTACTCGCTCCCTTGTTACTACTGAACCTAACTGGGCTGCAACGGGAGATGCAGAAAAGACAAAGGATAGGCAGACAAAGTTGGGGCCAGGTGTGTTGGGCGCTTGGGTGGAGAGCAATGAGCACAACTCTCGTTGCTTCTTTTCTCTATTCTCTTCGTTTTACTCTGCTGCTTTTCTCTATCTATATTCTTTTTTAAAGTCTTTGCCCCCAGACTTGCACTGTCCCATGTTCTTTGTAATTTTTCTTTAGCTTAGCTTTTCAAAAGCCTATGTATAAAGTTCTCAAATGTAGACTTTCTATTAACCCATTTTTAGCAATTCCCTTTCAGCAATCTCCCTTCCACAATCCTCCCACATACAAAAGCCAAAAGCCCCCCCCCATCAAAAAATCTTGCATCCTCCTTCAGCAAGTCTTTTATACCCAGTGGTAAACAAGGAGATGTGACATTAATAATAGAAACATGCAATCTACCTCTGAACTGTAAACAATTCAGGAGAAGCAGCTATTCTGCATTTTCCTATTCTGTGACCAGGGCTGTGTGGAACTCAGCCTGCAGAATGTTGGGTACAGCTGTGCTAATGTCCAGTTCTCATGGGCTTCTCAATCCGCTCCCCACACAGGACCTCATTTCCAAAATAACCAGAGCAAAATGGGCTGGAGGTTTGGCTCTATGGGCACACACACACACCACCATCACCACACGAATTTGACTGCCTCACGCTTGCTAGGCGTTCACTGTACCACTTGAGCCACTCTAGCCGTAGGACAGAAAGCATCTTAAAAAGCCTATGATTTCCCCCTAAAAGAAGGTTGGAGGCATGGCTCAAAGCATTAGAGTGCCTGCCTACGCAGAACAAAGCTGAGTCAAGCCCCTGTGCCACCAAAGGAAAAAATACATGTAAGTTGCTGATTGTAAGAAACAAGGCTCCTCGTTCTAATGAACTCTTAACTATGTGATAGTCGCTTTTTAACTATATTTTTGAGTTAGCACTTAATATGCCCTAGCTTTTCAGGTCGGAATTTGGCACACTGAAGGATCAGGAACTATTTTAGGTTTAATAGACATCTGCTGTCTGGGAACTGCTCAACTGTTACAAAGTAGCCAAGGGCAAATGCAAACAGGTGAGGCTATGTTCCAATAAAATTTTATAGGCCTGCCATACATGTGAATTTAATATGACTTTCATATGTCACAGCTCTTGATATTTTTTCCTAAATTTAACAAATGTAAAAACTGCTAAACTTGGAGGTTCATCTCACCATATTATTTTTGCAGACCCACCCACTGATGGGGTGGGTACCGGAAGGAAGCAACCAATGGGTTAGGCCAGGAAAGAGGAAAGGCCCCAGCTACACAGGTCAGGTAGCTGAGACCCCCATGCTGTGTGTCAATCTGGAGGGGAACACATGGCACAGTGTGGGAAGTACCTGAGGACTTGCCAAGAATGATTCCTGACTCCTCCCCTCCCAGGTAAGGAAGAGAGCACCTACTTGCCTCAGGCCTGGCTTTCAGGTTTGCAAAATTAGTAACCCAAGGAACTCGGTATGGTTATTATCCAAATGACATCCTGGGAATCCCAAGTTGTAAAATAATTAATTGTGTGAAAGTTCACTACCTGGCTTTGATCTGAGGGCAAAGTCAGAGGCTGTGATTTTTTTTTTCTTTTAAATTTGAGCATGTTGTTACATTCTCTTCTGCTTAGAATTCTCTGCTTCAGTTTGCTCCTAGAATAAAAAGTCTTAGGGTTTTCAGTGGAGAAACAAACTTTTTGGTGTACATGCATGGTAATAGTAGCTTTTCATTCTTGCTGAACCTTCCAGTTATGTAAGAAAAAAACAGGTAGGGAGACTGAGCTACTTTGGGGAACCTTGAGTGTTGATGGGAACCAACTCAAGTTGAAGTACTGGAACATTTACCTTCTAGAGATGGCCCTGTTTTCTCTGTAGAGTTTCTCATACTTTAACTTGGGTCTTACAGTTTAAATTTCTCATGGAGGGCTAGGGGTGAAACCCAGTGCCCCTGGTATGCTGGGCAAGTGCTCTACTACTGAGTGTACCCCTCAGCCCTAGTTTCTAAGTTTCGAAGTATGTGTGGAACAGTGAGTACTTTAGTGAGTGGTGAGACCAGGAAATTAGTACTTCTGTTCTTTGCTTCTCAGTTGCACATCTGTGTTCCTTGTCTCTTCCTAGTACTTGAGGTACAGGGAAGAGAAGTCAGAGGTTTTGAAAAAGTGGTTCAATTTTCCTCTAGAGAAATGTTCTGGGATTTTTTGCAGGGGGAGGTGGGTTGGTTGTTTGTTTGTTTGCAATACTGGGGATTGAGCCCAAGTCCTCACATGTGCTAGGCAGGTGCTGTACCACTGAGTTAAATCCTCAACCCCACCTTGGAAAAACTTTAAAAAATATTAGACCACTTGCTTAGCATGCTCAAGACCCTGGGTAACACCCCCAGCACTGCAAAAACTGATGCAATAATACTAATGCAGAAATTCTGGTTTAGTTGGGGGTGGGGACGCATCTGCATTTTTTTTTTTTTTGTGGCTACTGGGGTTTGAACTCAGAACCTCATTCTTGCTAGGCAGGTGCTCTACCACTTGAATCACTCCACCAGCCCTTTTTTGTGTTGGGTATTTCTAAGATAGAGGCTCACAAACTATTTGTCTGTCCAGCCTGACTTCAAACCGTGATCCTCCTGATCTTGGCCTCCCAAGTAGCTAGGATTACAGGCATGAGCCACCGGCGTTAGCATACCTGCATTTTTATAGTGTTTGGTTTGCAGCAGAATTGGAGCTTCTTTCCAGGTGCCCTATTTCCTTAGGCCATATGTCACAGTGATTTTTTTTTTATTTTAGCAAACAACTTGATATGTATGACTTTCTTAATCTAAGGTACATTTGAAGAGATAATATGCTTCTATTAATATTCTTGTGTTTGGTGGGAAGAGTCTCTTAATCAAGTTGTATTCTAAATAATGTCTACATCTTAAAGAGATAGTGTCAGGATACTATCTGTTTTCGGACAATTCTTCATCTGTGTGTGTCCAGTCTTTTTGAAAGTACTGAATTTCATTAGAATATTAAGTGCCTTTTATGAGCAAAAACCAGTGTGCTAAAAGATCAATGTACAATATATTATTTCATTTTTTAGCCATACAGTGGAATAGTTAAGAACACTCATGTTCAAAGTCATGGGTAATGAAGGGAGAATCAAGCCCTTGAGCTACTCCAGCAGCCCTATTTTTGTGAAGAGTTTTTCAAGATAGGGTCTCTTGAACTGTTGCCCAGGCTGACTTCAAACCGTGATCTCTCCTGAGTACCTAGGATTATAGGCGTGAGTCACCGGTGCACGGCTTAAATGGAGTTTTTAAAAATGCTTTAGTTACAGATGACTTTCCCAGGAGACGTGGTTCATGAGGTGCCTCTTTCAAGGGATGGTGTGAGCTCTG